CCTCCGTCCGTCGGGGGTGAGTGTGCCCTTGGCACGGACGTCCTTGAGGACAGGCAGGAGGAGTTCCAGTGCTTGGCCGCTGCTTCACCTCATCTCGTGTCCGTACTGCTTACCCCTGAGGGAGACCCGGATGCACTTGACATCCCGACTCCGCGCTCTTACGCGGAGGCGATAGAGGGTCCCTACTCCTCTCAGTGGCAGGCAGCTATGGACGCAGAGATGGCTTCCTGGAAGTCCACAGGCACCTACGTTGACGCTGTTCCCCCTCCTGGGGCGAACATCGTCAGTGGCATGTGGATTTTCAGGGTGAAGCGACCGCCGGGTTCTCCACCTGTCTTCAAGGCGCGTTACGTGGCTCGTGGCTTCAGTCAGCGGCAGGGAGTTGACTACTTTCAGACCTTCTCTCCCACCCCGAAGATGACCACTCTTCGGGTACTGCTGCACGTAGCTGCTCACCGTGACTACGAGCTACACTCTCTTGACTTCAGCACTGCTTTCTTGCAGGGCAGCCTGCACGAGGAGATCTGGCTGCGTCGCCCACCTGGCTTCACTGGGTCTTTTCCTCCTGGCACCCAGTGGAGCCTACGGCGGCCAGTCTACGGTCTCCGCCAGGCACCGCGTGAGTGGCACGACACACTGAGGACTACACTTGCGGCTCTTGGGTTTGCTCCCTCTACTGCCGACCCGTCGCTGTTTCTGCGCACCGACACTTCTTTGCCGCCGTTCTACATCCTCGTGTACGTCGACGACTTGGTCTTTGCCACAGCTGACACTGCTGGACTAGCCCACGTGAAGTCCGAGCTGCAGAAGAGACACACGTGAACTGACCTGGGTGAACTGCGCAGCTACCTTGGCTTGCAGATCACTCGGGACAGAGCACGCCGCACCATTACCCTGACTCAGTCACACATGGTGCAGCAGGTCCTTCAGCGCTTCGGCTTCACGTACTCCTCGCCTCAGGCCACTCCTCTGCCTACTCGCCACTCGCTCTCAGCTCTGCCTTCGGATGAGTCCGTAGAGTCGAGTGGCCCGTACCCAGAGCTTGTTGGCTGCCTCATGTACCTGATGACCTGCACACGACCTGACCTTGCATACCCTCTTAGCATTCTTGCACGCTATGTTGCTCCTGGGAGACACAGACCGGAGCACATGGCTGCAGCGAAGAGGGTGTTGCGCTACTTGTGCAGTACGTCGGGCATGGGGCTTGTGCTTGGAGGGCAGAGTCCAGTGGTCCTTACTGGGCACGCAGACGCTTCTTGGGCTGACGACCAGGCTACGCAGCGGTCGTCACAGGGTTACACCTTCAGCCTTGGTTCCGGCTCTGTTTCGTGGCGGGCTACTCGCTCGTCTTCTGTTCTCGGCTCCAGTTGTGAGGCTGAGATCTACGCAGGAGCCATGGCTGCACAGGAGCTTCGCTGGCTCACCTACCTGCTGACTGACCTCGGAGAGTTGCCTCGTTCTCCTCCAGTGCTGTACGTAGACAACAAGGCCATGCTGGCCTTGTGTCGGGAGCAGCGACTGGAGCACAGAACGAAGCACATTGCTCTCCGCTACTTTCTTGCTCGTGAGCTGCAGCAGCGTGGTCAGCTGCGTCTTGCGTACGTGGCCTCTGAGGCCAACACTGCTGATATCTTCACCAAGGCACTTGCGCCTTGTGACCATCAGCGCTTCTGTACTCAGCTGGGCCTTGTGCCTACCTTGCCTCACTTGCTCACCTCTTGACCTTGCTTGTACTGTTACATATATATATACCTGCTCTTGTTTGTCTAGCCTTTTTTTTATATATATGTGTACTCCTGCTTGTGAACTGGCCTTGTGGCCTTGAACTTGTGCTCGGAATGTGTGGTGACTTTGTGATCCACCCTGAGCTTGTTTTTTGCTTTGCTTTGCTTGACTGGTCTTGTGACCCCTTGTTCTCCCCCACTTTGCCTATGGGGGTGTGTCAGATTTATATGACATAGCTACTGTAGGCTATAGTGGGGTAGCACATATGGGGTACAGTTTTCTAGGGTTTGCTTCTTGTACCCAACTTTCACTTAGTCATTTCATTCCTCGTTTCTTATCACTACCTGCTGACCGACTTGGGAGAGCAGCCTCGTTCGCCTCCAGTTCTGTACGTAGACAACAAGGCCATGATTGCCTTGTGTCATGAGCACAGATTGGAGCACAGAATGAAGCATATCGCTTTGCGATACTTCCTTGCTCGAGAGCTGCAGCAGCGTGGCCAACTTCGTCTTGCGTACGTAGCCACTAGGGCCAACACTGCTGATGTATTCACCAAGGCACTTCAGTCTGGTGATTATCTGCGCTTCTCTACACCATTAGGCCTTGTGCCTACTTTGCCTCACTTGCTCACTGCGTGACTTTGTTTGTACTGTGATCTATATATATACATGTATGCTTACACTTGTTAGGGTATGATCACTGTATTGTTTGTTCTCTTTTATATAACTCTGCATGTGAACTAGCCTTGTGGCCCTTTGCTTGTGCTCGGACTGTGTGGTGACTTTGTGATCCACAATGAGCTTGCTTTGCTTTTCTTGTGACCACTTGTTCTCCCCCACTTTGCCTATGGGGGTGTGTCAGAATATTATAGTGCTTACATTTGTGTAGGCTATAGTGGGGTAGCACATAAGGGGTACAACCCAATTAGGGTTAGTACTTGTACCCAGATTTTTCATAGTTCATTCGTTCTCGTTCATTCTTCTGACACACTGGAGGGTACGGATGTTGTAACATACATCGGAGGTTTCGCACTGCAAAACGCTAACCGCCGGGTATCGGAATAGTCACCGTCACTGTGTCGGTACCTGTAATACGGTTGAATTCATACATCTAAGAGTATATGGTTAGTCAGAATTATATATTTCAATGCAATGTTTCATTATAATCATCTGCAATTTACATTCACTATAAACAGGGTTCCTAAAACCCTTCTAATATCTCTACTCTCTAACACCTTTTTTTGTCCAATCGATCGTTATGCTACACTAGCATGTTAGAAGACCGGTACTAGGGATCCTCGATTACTCATACCGTATTCTCCCGGACAAAACACCCCCCCGTAATTGTACACCCCCGGGTAGCTTGTGCGGGGTGGGTGTTATGATAGACCTCGTTTCTACTATACCCCCCTTTTTTGCTGATTTTATATAACACCCCCCTTTTCTTACGAATTCGTTATAATAGTCGTTAACGAGTAGCTGCAATATTGAAGAATATCGCGAAAATTTCTCCCTATATGAAATTTCGCGGTACATTCACTTACAATCTACCGAGATTTCCCCCCTCGCACTACTTCGCTGTGACCACGTGCAGGCGAATCTTCCGCTGCAAGTGGCAAGAGAGGTGCCACATGGCATTTTCGTGGGGGTGATGAAGCTCGTGGCCGAAACCCACATTCGCGCCTCAGACAGTGATGTTAAAATGAAAATCAAAACACCCACATTGTCTAATTAAATAAACACTAACACTAAAATATACCATATGTAAAGACCCGGGTATTATGTATTTTTTTCCTATGAGGAGACCCCCCCCATTTTTTCCCTGTATTTTTAGCTATACCCTAGGGTGCTATGTCCGGGAGAATACGGGTAGAAGGGTTATAGCATGTTAGCCTGGGAGGTTATGTGTGCACTGACCCGCTGTTGGGGCAAGCCATTTTATCCCAATGGTCTAGTGGTTGAGGTTTTTAAATGGTATCATTGCACATATCTCGGGTTCGAATCCCCATGTGCGCACATGCTGCCGAAGGCGCTGTTAGTGTCCTAGGCCTCCCTGTGTGGGGGAATGTCAGAAGACCGGCATTGGGGATCCCCGATTGAGGCATGTTAGCCTCGGGGGCTATGACCGCACTAACCCGCTACTGGAACAAGCTAATTTATCCCAATGGTCTAGTGGTTGGGATTCTCACATAGCACTGATCGAAGAGTAGGGGCGACACGCTATCGGGGTATTAGGAACAAAGTGTCGTAGAAGATTCACTTGTAAACCATTGTGTACGTACCAATGGTTGGCAACAATGGCTTTGCTATCCGCAAAACCATGGCTCAATGGGACGGGCAGGCAAATGTTCGTTTTGTCGAGAATGACTACTTGCCGTGTTGATATGTTTTTTCCCGTACTCATAGGTCTGATTGTTTTTGGGAGGTTGTCATGACTTACTTTAAGGAATATGATATTTCCTTACTTCGTGCCCATGCTTACCGTGTATACGACTGTTCCCGCCAACAGTAAGCCGTTACCAATTGCGACACTCGACTCGACCACTGTTCCCGCCATTGTTTACATCGCGCGACCCAACCTTACGGCTCGGTTGGTAACCCGCGCTCTGATCCTCCGCCTCGACAATTCCCAACCTCGGCGTCAGGCCCGTCGCGCATCCCACATTTCGCGCGTTACCGTTACCAAGCTAGTTCGCTATATAACATTTGCTCATTCCTTCGAGCAATGGACTGTTTTGCTTAGATAGTGCAATCTTAGTTCTCTCACTCAATTGCATTAGTAACACCTACAAATGACTTGGGTCTAGGGTCAAATGTCTTTTGGTTCTAAATTTGGTGGACCGGGTGGTTGCTCGCTGTTTGGTCAAGCTGGTTCGGGCCTACCAGCACTCACCAAGACGTATGTGACACGTCCTAAAACCGATGAACTGAATTCCACGAAGTCAGGTTACCGCTACAGATTATTTTTTCGCCATGACCACCCAGGTCAAACAACCTGGCCATCACCCCAACAAACCTATCTCAAGGTTCCTCCCATTCATGTGCTCACCCGCAGATCACATTCCTAGGTATTTCCAGTTGCTAGGATTACAGTAACTGAAGACAACTGCTCGCTAGGTCCCCGTAGATTCACCAGTGGGGAGTGTCCTTCACCAGGTTTGGTTTTCTGAGGGTGTCGATATTTGAAACGTCAGCGTAGTGGCACGGGCGAAGATAGGTTATTTTTCCCATTGCTCTAAGGGTAATTATTCTTCCTCGTAATCTCTGCCCGCGGCCATGAATCCGTCGCGCCCCGGAGGGTTTGGCGCGCGGTCAGGCCGGTACGGAGGGGCAGCAGGAACCCCCGCGGGCGCGGGCAAGGGGCCCGGCGGACCGTCTTCGCGCAGCAATGCGGCGCTGCAGGCGCAGCAGAGGCTCCGCGCGCTCATGTCGAACACGTCGGATGAATCCCAAGATGACTACGGCAGCCAGGTGCTCGCGCTGTCTGCGTGTGCGTGCGGGTCGTAGTGTGCCGGCCGTATTGTGCCGGTCGTAGTGTGCCGGCCTTAGTGTGCCGGTCGTAATGTGCCGGTCCTAGTAGTGTGCAGATCTTAGTATTCCCCGATAATTACGGCGTGCAGGTCGCAGTGTGCCTGTCGTAGAATGCATGGAACAGGTCCCCAAGAGCTAAGCCGGAGCGACTTTGGTGATGAGACATTCTTTGAGTCGACTAAAAAATGCCTGTCGTAGAATGCATGGAACAGGTCCCCAAGAGCTAACCCGGAGCGACTGCCTCGTTATTAACGCAGTGCCGGAAATGGGCAAACGCGGCGAAACGTTCTATGCGGCCGCATGCCACTTGGCAATTGTTCCGGAGCCATCCGATCGACTGAACGATTAGATAGGTCTTGGACATCGGCGTGAAGCTATGTATAGAATGGTAAGACGTGAAGCTATGTATAGAATGGTAAGACGTGAAGCCCATGCCTTGATATTGACGATGAGCGTGCGCTGCTGGTGAATCTCAGGTCGTTGTGACAATGCGATAATGCGACAACGAGACATTGGGACCATGAGACGATGAGACATTGGGACGATGGGACGATGAGGCGACGAGCCAATGAGTTCAGGACAAGGACGGTAGGTTGACTTCGGCGATGAGGAAGACTCGGTCAACGACGACGATAGACTGAGGTCAACGACGACGATAGACTGAGGTCAACGACGACGATAGACTGAGGTCAACGACGACGGCAGACTGAGGTCAACGACGATGGGAGACTGAGGTTAACACGACGGGGAATTTCTTTCAGCGTTTCGAGGATAAGGTCAACAAGGCGATGAGCTCAGGTCAAGGATCGTAAGATGACGTCAGCATTGACGGAAATTAGGTCCACGTCGGTAGACTGAGGTCAACGATGATAAGCTGACGTCAACGCTGAGAGTCAACGCTGGGAGTCAACGCTGAGAGTCAACGGGATGTCAACGCGATAGGTTGAGTCAACTCTTTTCAGTCAATTTGTCGTCGACTGGTCAAGGATGGCGTGAATGAACCTATCGCGTTGTTAAGTATGGCTATTTGTTTACATGGTTACAGTTACATGCTAAACTTAGGATATCTTATTTACTAAAACTACAGGTATCTGCTTCTTGAAATGCGTCCTGTCCTGATTCGCGCACCCCGTTTTCCCCGTCGTTCCCCCTCTCCCCGCATCCCAACACCCCAGGTCGGGCGGGGGAATGCGCAGCCCCCCACTGGGGCCGCTATGGGGCGCACGCGGCCAGCGGGGGGGGATACGACGCGCCCGATCTCACCCACCCCATGCTTTTTTAGATGTCTTAAATTCCCCCCTCCCCGCCCGTTTTCCCCCTCGCTCCCCCCTCTCCCCGCCTCCCATCCCAGCTCCCCAGGTCCGCGGGGGGAATGCGCCAGCCCCCCACTGGGGGCGCTATGGGGCGCACGCGGCCAGCAGGGGGCGGATATGACGCGCCCGACCCCATGGGGGACCCTTACCGAGGGGGGGGAGGCATGGGCGGATACGACATGGGACGACGCCCGTACGTAGGGGGTGGGATGGGGTATGGGGAGGGGAGTTGGGAGCGGGAATGAGTGTGAGGGATGGTAGGGGGCGGATATGACGCGCCCGACCCCATGGGGGACCCGTACCGAGGGAGGGGAGGCATGGGCGGATACGACATGGGATGACGCCAGTACGTGTGGGATGAGTGTGATGTATGATGGGTGTATGACATGGGGGGGAGGCATGGGTGTATGACATGGGGGGGAGGCATGGGTGTATGACATGGGGCGACGCGCGTGCGTGTGCATATGACATGGGTGCATAGACAGGCGAATGTGTGGGATGGTGCATGGGGAGGGGGATGCGGGAATGTGTGGGTGTGATGATGTGAGGCATGGCAGGGAGCGGATATGATACAACGCGCCCGACCCCATGGGGAACCCGTTCCGAGGGGGGGGAGGCATGGGCGGATACGACATGGGACGACGCCTGTACGTAGGGGATGGTGCATGGGGGAGGGGAGATGCGGGAATGTCTGTGATGTGATGGTGTAGCGTGCAGGAATGCGGGAATGTGTGGCAGGGAACAGATAGGAACCTATGGGGCACCCGTAGCGAGGGGGGGATGGGGTGGCATAGGCTGATGCAGCATGAATGAGGCGACGCCTGTACGCGCTGGATTGAAATCCACTTTTGAGAATTCTCAATAGTGATTTTCCTGTACGCGCTGGATTGAAATCCACTTTTGAGAATTCTCAGTAGTGATTTTCCTGTACGCGCTGGATTGAAATCCACTTTTGAGAATTCTCAATAGTGTTTTTCCTGTACGCGCTGGAGAGGAGATGCGTGAATGCTCCTCCTCACTTTGACATTGCATCTGCATTGCTATTCTGCATCACGCTTTACCCCACCCAACTGCACCTCTTCACAGTCCTCCGCGCCTCGTTTCACCCCTCTGCACCGCCCTCGTCGCTCTGGCAGGGATACAGTAGCGTCCCGGCAGGAGATGGAGAGCATCAAGCGCGAATCAGCCAAGCTCAAGGACGATGTAAGAGCAGCGCTTACCTAAAAGGATTATGTAAGAAGCGTGAAAGAGCGAGGCAAGCTCAAGGACGATGTGAGAGCAGGGAGTGCCTAAAGCCATAAATGAGCCATGCCACAGCCATGCTCCTTGTCCCTCCGCCCCTTCTGCCTCTTACCTCGCTTCTCTGCCATCTCGTTTCCCCCCTTCTCTTTTTGCCGTTTCCTCGGCTTAATGTGCTCGTCACTGTCATCCATGTCCCACTCCTTCTCTCCCCTTCCCTCCTCTTTCCTCCCTTATCTACCATCTCGTTTTTCTCTTCTCGTTTGCCTTTTCCTCAGCTTAATGTGCTCGTCACTGTGCTCCCTGCCCCCTTGCCGCTCTCTTCCTGCCCGTGTTTGATGCGCCTCAAAACTAGACTCAGCTAGCTAGCTTAATGTGCTCGTCACTGTGTCCCATCCGCTCTGCTCCTCTTCCCGCCTCGTCTTCGCAGCTGGATGTACTCACAGAGGAAAACGAGTTCCTGGTGGATAAGGTGAGCTGATGGGGGTTTCGGAGAGTGGGGGATACATTGGTGGGGGGGCAGTGGGCCTCAGATGTCTGTTCACCCAGCTGGACGTACCGGTACTCACAGAGGAAAACGAGTTCCTGGTGGATAAGGTGAGCTGATGGGGGTGAATTGGTAGGGGGGCAGTGTTCGAGGCAATTCAAAAATGTCTGTCCCCCCAAAGGTCTGTTCCCCCAGCTGGATGTTCTCACAGAGGAAAACGAGTTCCTGCTGGATAAGGAGAGCTGATGGGGGTTCTGAGAGTGTGTTTCTTGAGGCGGCAAAAACTCGCGCAATCATTCATATTGTCATGCTGGCAAGGGGGAAAGCTGTTTCTGTTGTGCTGTAAGCTGTTTCTGTTGTGCTGTAAGCTGTTTCTGTTGTGCTGTAAGCTGTTTCTGTTGTGCTGTAAGCTGTTTCTGTTGTGCTGTAAGCTGTTTCTGTTGTGCTGTAAGCTGTTTCTGTTGTGCTGTAAGTTGTTTCTGTTGTGCTGTAAGCTGTTTCTGTTGTGCTGTAAGCTGTTTCTGTTGTGCTGTAAGCTGTTTCTGATGTGCTGTAAGCTGTTTCTGATGTGCTGTAAGCTGTTTCTGATGTGCTGTAAGCTGTTTCTGATGTGCTGTAAGCTGTTTCTGATGTGCTGTAAGCTGTTTCTGTTGTGCTGTAAGCTGTTTCTGTTGTTCTGTAAGCTGTTTCTGATGTGCTGTAAGCTGTTTCTGATGTGCTGTAAGCTGTTCATTCATATGTTCAATCTGAGGCTGGAAGTGCCGCGTTCCCTCTACCCTCCGCTCTTGAGCAGCTACGCATGACAGCGGAGGAACTCAGGGCTATCCCTTATTTTCTCACTTCTTCTCCCCTGTGCTCTCCCCGCCTCCCCACCCCTCACCCCCCCTTGTGCAGCTGCGCATGGCAGAGAAGGACTCACGTCTCTATTCACTCTCTCACCCCCCCTCCCCCCTCCCCCCTCCCTCCTTCCCCCATCCCTTTCCCCCCTTGTGCAGCTGCGCATGGCCGAGAAGGTAGGACCTCAAGGAGAAGCAGGCGCGGGTGCAGGAGCTCAAGGAGAAGCAGGCGCGCTTGCAGGGCCATCCCTCACTCTTCCCCCAACCCTTTCCCACCCCTCCCATTCACCTCCCCTTCCCCCCCCCGGTTTTCCCTCTCGCGCCGCCCCTCCCCTCCGCCCCTGCAGCTGCGCATGGCAGAGGAGGACCTGAGGGCTATCCTTCTCCGCCTCTCACTGTGTCCCCTTCCCCCCTTTTGCTTCCGCCTTCTCCCCCTCTCCCCTCCGCCCCTGCAGCTGCGCATGGCAGAGGAGGACCTCAAGGCTATGCTTCTCCGCCTCTCACTGTGTTCCCTCTCCCCTTTTTCCCCACACTCCCCCTCTCCCCTTTTTCCCCACACTCCCCCTCTCCCCTCCCCCCCCCCTGCAGCTGCGCATGGCAGAGGAGGACCTCAAGGAGAAGCAGGCGCGCGTGCAGGAGCTGGAGAAGCAGGTGGGGGAGGGGAGGGGGGTGGGGGGGTGCGCGGGAAGGGCAGGGGAATTATTGAGAGGGGTAATGGGAGAGGTGGTTAAAATGAGGGGCTGACTTGACTGAAGGAGAAGAAGGCGCGCGGGCAGGAGCTGGAGAAGCAGGTGGTTGGGGGGGAGGTTAGTGAGAGGGGGGAATGAGAGGTTGGAGTGGGAGGAGGGAGTGAGAGGAGTGAGTGAGAGGTTGGGGTAGTGAGGAGGGCGAGGGGAGAGTTAAGTCAGGGCCAAAACAAGTCAATTCGGTTTGGTTCGGCTCGGTTCGGTTTGGCCCAGATCGGTTCGGTCAGGTTGGGTCGGGTCGGCCCAAGCCGAACTGAGTTGGGCCGGGCCGGGCCAAGCTGAGTCGTGTCGAGAAAAGTCACTACCACTGCCACTGCCCTTCTGTGTAGGCATTGGCTTTCCACATACTGCCCGTACTCTACCCTTTGACCGTGCTCTACCGCTTTCTGCCACTCGATCTCTTGCTCTATCCCTCTGTCGCCCTGCAGGTGGCCAAGATGGGAGAAGGGCTCAGCCTGGAGGCCCGTCTTCTCAACAAGTGAGCAAAACCCAAACTGGATACCTGGAATCAACCCGATTTATCCAATCCAGACACCACTCCCCCCTCCTTCCTCCCCCATCGCCCCCTCCTCCCCGGCGCCCCCCCTCCCTTTGAGCCCAGCCAGTTCTCTTCCTCCTGAACCTTCTTCTCTGCTTGTCTTTCTTTCTCTGCGCTGCTCCCCCCCCATCTCCCCCCCGGTCCCCCGCCTCACTTTGCTACTCTGATTTTCAAGACATCTCTGAACTCATTTGCTGCGCAAATTTCTTGAGTTTCTGTTTTGAGGTGCCTCAAAAGGCGTTTCTCGAGGCAAATCTCGTGAAGGTGTTGACAGACAGGCAATGCTCCTCCCCTCCTCGCGCCCCTCGCATCCCCCCTGGCAGGAAAGAGGCGGTTCTCAAGCAGCGCGAGGTAATTTCTGTTCACTAATACTGGCACTGCTCCTGCTTGCATGCTAATGCTCGCCTGCATGCATGGATTACCCATCCAGATCTCATAGCCTTGTTCACCCATCCGTGATTTGACAGCCCTGCCCTGGCCATGCCTTCATGCATACCCTTTGATGGCCTGCTTTGATTGCCATGCTCTGTTCTCACCTGCCTGTGCGCCCTTGCTGTTGTGCTGCCTGTGCCACCTGCCTGTGCGCATGCTTGCGTGTGTGTGGGGTATGACATGGTAGGCGAGTCTGAAGGAGATGAAGGACAAGAGCAAGGACGTGAAGGAGGTGGAGATCACCACGCTCAGGATGGAGCTCGAGGTGAGGGGGTGGATGGGAGTGAAGGGGAGTGGAAGGGGAGTGGGCGAGCGAGGAAGTGCAGGCGCTGAGGAGTCGCAGAAGGGAGGAAGCAGCACCCACTCACCCAACCCATCCCACCCAACCCATCCCACCCAACCCATCCCACCCAACCCATCCCACCCATCCCACCCAACCCATCACACCCAAACCCATCCCACCCAACCCATCCCACCCAACCCATCCCACCCAAACCCATCCCACCCAACCCATCCACACCCAACCCATCCCACCCAACCCATCCCACCACCACCCATCCCCACCCAACCCATCCCACCCAACCCATCCCACCCAAACCCATCCCACCCAACCCATCCCACCCACCCATCCCACCCAACCCATCCCACCCAACCCATCCCACCCACCCCATCCCACCCAACCCATCCCACCCAACCCATCCCACCCAACCCATCCCACCCAACCCATCCCACCCAACCCATCCCACCCAACCCATCCCACCCAACCCATCCCACCCAACCCATCCCACCCAACCCATCCCACCCAACCCATCCCACCCAACCCATCCCACCCAACCCATCCCACCCAACCCATCCCACCCAACCCATCCCACCCAACCCATCCCACCCAACCCATCCCACCCAACCCATCCCACCCAACCCATCCCACCCAACCCATCCCACCCAACCCATCCCACCCAACCCATCCCACCCAACCCATCCCACCCAACCCATCCCACCCAACCCATCCCACCCAACCCATCCCACCCAACCCATCCCACCCAACCCATCCCACCCAACCCATCCCACCCAACCCATCCCACCCAACCCATCCCACCCAACCCATCCCACCCAACCCATCCCACCCAACCCATCCCACCCAACCCATCCCACCCAACCCATCCCACCCAACCCATCCCACCCAACCCATCCCACCCAACCCATCCCACCCAACCCATCCCACCCAACCCATCCCACCCAACCCATCCCACCCAACCCATCCCACCCAACCCATCCCACCCAACCCATCCCACCCAACCCATCCCACCCAACCCATCCCACCCAACCCATCCCACCCAACCCATCCCACCCAACCCATCCCACCCAACCCATCCCACCCAACCCATCCCACCCAACCCATCCCACCCAACCCATCCCACCCAACCCATCCCACCCAACCCATCCCACCCAACCCATCCCACCCAACCCATCCCACCCAACCCATCCCACCCAACCCATCCCACCCAACCCATCCCACCCAACCCATCCCACCCAACCCATCCCACCCAACCCATCCCACCCAACCCATCCCACCCAACCCATCCCACCCAACCCATCCCACCCAACCCATCCCACCCAACCCATCCCACCCAACCCATCCCACCCAACCCATCCCACCCAACCCATCCCACCCAACCCATCCCACCCAACCCATCCCACCCAACCCATCCCACCCAACCCATCCCACCCAACCCATCCCACCCAACCCATCCCACCCAACCCATCCCACCCAACCCATCCCACCCACCCATCCCACCCAACCCATCCCACCCAACCCATCCCACCCAACCCATCCCACCCAACCCATCCCACCCAACCCATCCCACCCAACCCATCCCACCCAACCCATCCCACCCAACCCATCCCACCCAACCCATCCCACCCAACCCATCCCACCCAACCCATCCCACCCAACCCATCCCACCCAACCCATCCCACCCAACCCATCCCACCCAACCCATCCCACCCAACCCATCCCACCCAACCCATCCCACCCAACCCATCCCACCCAACCCATCCCACCCAACCCATCCCACCCAACCCATCCCACCCAACCCATCCCACCCAACCCATCCCACCCAACCCATCCCACCCAACCCATCCCACCCAACCCATCCCACCCAACCCATCCCACCCAACCCATCCCACCCAACCCATCCCACCCAACCCATCCCACCCAACCCATCCCACCCAACCCATCCTACCCAACCCATCCCACCCAACCCATCCCACCCAACCCATCCCACCCAACCCATCCCACCCAACCCATCCCACCCAACCCATCCCACCCAACCCATCCCACCCAACCCATCCCACCCAACCCATCCCACCCAACCCATCCCACCCAACCCATCCCACCCAACCCATCCCACCCAACCCATCCCACCCAACCCATCCCACCCAACCCATCCCACCCAACCCATCCCACCCACCCCATCCCACCCAACCCATCCCACCCAACCCATCCCACCCAACCCATCCCACCCAACCCATCCCACCCACCCCATCCCACCCAACCCATCCCACCCAACCCATCCCACCCACCCCACCCTTGTGTGCGTTCCTTCAGTCCCAGAGGGAGGAGGCGGCAGCAGTGTTGGAGGAGGCAAGGCAGGCGAGCGAGGAGGTGAGGCGGTTGAGGAGCCTCACGGCGCCTATCAACTGATATATACCCCCCTGTACCATGCGCTTTTCGATGTGCTCTCCCATGTGTGCATTGTTGCACCCCCTGCAGTCCCAGAGGGAGGAGGCAGCGGCAGCGTTGGAGGAGGCGAGGCAGGCGAGTGAGGAGGTGAGGGCGCTGAGGAGCCTCACGGCGCGCATTCTGCTGACTCCCGAGGAGAAGGAGGAGGTGGTGCTCAAGCGCTGCTGGCTCGCGCGCTACTGGGCGCTGGCCTCTCGCCATGGTAGGTCTGTGGGTGTGTGTGTATGCTCGAGACTGGTACATGTGTGTCTCCTGCTCGACTGCAAAAGTGTTCTCCAAGGAAGCCTCACAGCGCGCATTCTGCTGACCCCCGAGGAGAAGGAGGAGGCGGTGCTCAAGCGCTGCTGGCTCGCCCGCCACTGGGCCCTTGCTTCTCGCCATGGTACGTGCATGTGATGCATGTGGCTCAGAGGAAGGTCCCATACGTGCCTTGAAGCATTCTTCTGACCCCCGAGGAGAAGGAGGAGGCGGTGCTCAAGCGCTGCTGGCTCGCGCGCTACTGGTTGCTTGCCTCTCGCCACAGTAAATTGATGTTCTGCACAGCTTAGCTCTTATTTATGCTGAGATTACCAGCTCCCGCAGCTACCACTGGCGTAATCGCCTCTGCCCCTCACAAATGGACGTTGGGAGTGGTGGTTAATGCATCTTCACTCCTCTTTTTCCCTCCCAAATCCTTCCCTCCTCCTCCCTTCTACTAATCCAGGCGTGCATGCTGAAATCGCCAGCTCTCGCAGCAACCACTGGCAGAAGTACTCGCCTCTGCGCTTCTAACTGGTCATTGACACATCACATCTCCTCTTCACTCGCCCAACTCTCCCTGTCCTCCCCCTCCCTTCTCTTTTCTGCCTCTCTTGCTCTCTCGCCCCTCTCCAGGCGTGCATGCTGAAATCGCCAGCTCTCGCAGCAACCACTGGCAGAAGTACTCGCCTCTGCGCTTCTAACTGGTCATTGACACATCACATCTCCTCTTCACTCGCCCAACTCTCCCTGTCCTCCCCCTCCCTTCTCTTTTCTGCCTCTCTTGCTCTCTCTCCCCTCTCCAGGCGTGCATGCTGAAATCGCCAGCTCGCGCAGCGACCACTGGCAGAAGTACTCGCCTCTGCGCTTCTAACTGGTCATTGACACATCACATCTCCTCTTCACTCGCCCAACTCTCCCTGTCCTCCCCCTCCCTTCTCTTTTCTGCCTCTCTTGCTCTCTCGCCCCTCTCCAGGCGTGCATGCTGAAATCGCCAGCTCTCGCAGCAACCACTGGCAGAAGTACTCGCCTCTGCGCTTCTAACTGGTCATTGACACATCACATCTCCTCTTCACTCGCCCAACTCTCCCTGTCCTCCCCCTCCCTTCTCTTTTCTGCCTCTCTTGCTCTCTCTCCCCTCTCCAGGCGTGCATGCTGAAATCGCCAGCTCGCGCAGCGACCACTGGCAGAAGTACTCGCCTCTGCGCTTCTAACTGGTCATTGACACATCACATCTCCTCTTCACTCGCCCAACTCTCCCTGTCCTCCCCCTCCCTTCTCTTTTCTGCCTCTCTTGCTCTCTCTCCCCTCTCCAGGCGTGCATGCTGAAATCGCCAGCTCGCGCAGCGACCACTGGCAGAAGTACTCGCCTCTGCGCTTCTAACTGGTCATTGACACATCACATCTCCTCTTCACTCGCCCAACTCTCCCTGTCCTCCCCCTCCCTTCTCTTTTCTGCCTCTCTTGCTCTCTCGCCCCTCTCCAGGCGTGCATGCTGAAATCGCCAGCTCTCGCAGCAACCACTGGCAGAAGTACTCGCCTCTGCGCTTCTAACTGGTCATTGACACATCACATCTCCTCTTCACTCGCCCAACTCTCCCTGTCCTCCCCCTCCCTTCTCGTTTCTGCCTCTCTTGCTCTCTCTCCCCTCTCCAGGCGTGCATGCTGAGATCGCCAGCTCGCGCAGCGACCACTGGCAGAAGTACTCGCCTCTGCCCTTCGAAGTGGTCATTGATGCCGGGAGGAAGGCCCGGGAGGAGCCCGACGGTGGGGAGAAAGGTGAGACGCGGTTGTGGGGAGGGGGAGGCAAGGAGGGAGGGGGAGGCAAGGAGGGAGGGGGAGACGGGGGTACTGGACTAGGTGCTTGTTCTTTTGTGCCCTTTGAGGTGGTGATTGACGCTAGGAGGAAGGCCAGGGAGGAGCCCGACGGTGGCGAGAAAGGTGAGCGACATGGAGAGCATGTTTCAGGTGGAGAAGGCATTCAAAGACCTGGCGGTTAGTTATCGAGGCAACCAACAACCCCCGCTTCCTCCCCCACCATCTCCCCTGGTCCTGTCCCCCGTCTTCTCGTCTCTCCCCCCGCTTTGCTTCCACAGAGGACAAGCCGGCGACGGTGGGCACAGAGAGCAACATAGAGAGCATGTTTCAGGTGGAGAAGGCACTCAGAGACCTGGCGGCTCTCAAGGTGGTTACTGGGGCAACCAAGAACTCCTCTCCTTCCTCTCACCTCCTCCCCACCCCCCCACGCACAGAGGACAAGCCAGCGACGGTGGGCACGGAGAGCAACATAGAGAGCATGTTTCAGGTGGAGAAGGCACTCAGAGACCTGGCGGCACTCAAGGTGGAGGAGGGGGTGCTGCTGGCCATGGCGCAGCACCGCCGCCCCGCCCTTCTCAAAGTTCACTCGGCTCCTTCAGGTAAGAGGGACTGTCTATAACGAATCATTTGCACTCAAGGTGGAGGAGGGGGTGCTGTTGGCCATGGCCCAGCACCGCCGCCCCGCGCTTCTCAAAGTGCACTCTGCACCCTCAGGTAAATCTGCCGCTCGTTGAGTCAGATCTACAAGAAGCATCCTTGGGGGAGGCATCAACGCTCAAGGTGGAGGAGGGGGTGCTGCTCGCCATGGCTCAGCACCGCTGCCCGGCGCTCCTGAAAGTGCACTCCGCTCCTTCAGGTATGGGGACTGTCTGTAGGAGCCTTTTTGCCCTGTTCGAGCGCATTCTGCACCATCGTGTAGGGGGTTAACCACTCTCAAGGTGGCGATTTTTGAGAGGTCTCAAAAGGCGGGGTTAACTGCTCTCGAGGTGGAGGGGGGGTGCTGCTCGCCATGGCACAGCACCGCCGCCCCATGCTGCTCTGAAAGTGCACTCCGCGCCTTCAGGTAAGTCTACGGTGATGCACTTGGTTCAGGCGCAGCCTCTGTTGCTTCAGGTGGGGTCTCTGTTGCTTCAGGTGGGGTCTCTGTTGCTTCAGGTGGGGTCGTTGTTGCTTCAGGTGGGGCATCTGTTGCTTCAGGTGGGGCCTCTGGTGCTTCAGGTGGAGTCTCTGTTGCTTCAGGTGGGGCCTCTGTTGTTCAGCTGCTCTATCTCCATTTTTATGTTTCACAATAATCCAACGTGCGTTCTCACCCACCTGTCCACTTTCCATGGCACTTCCATTTGTCATCTTGCCGTGCCCTCTGTCTACCAACCCCATCCCCCCCGCTTAATCTTTTCATGTGCACGTCTCCTCTCCCTCCCTCTCTCCGCCTCTGTGTGTGTGTGCAGCTGCCGAAGAGGGTCCAAGGATGGTCGAGTCTATGGGTGAGTTCCGCTGCCCTCCCTCCCAACGTCCCTCCCTCCCTACCTCCCTCCCTTTCTCCCTTGCTCCATCCTTTCTTCGTCCCCTTATATTCCTTTCTCACTTTCTGCCTTGCCTCCTTCCTTCCATCCGTCGTCCCCTTGCCTATGCTCTGCTCCGTGGCCCCTCAATTGTGCCTGTCTTCCTCGCTCGTCCATCTTTTGCGTCGACTCAAAAGCTTGCCTCCTTCCTTCCATCCTTCGTCCCCTTGCCTATGCTCTGCTCTGTGGCCCCTCAATTGTGCCTGTCTTCCCCCCTCGTCCATCTGTCCTTTCTCTTCGTTTCTGTTCATTGATCCTTCCATCACTCCTCCCTCGTCCGTTGAACCCTGTTCCAATCCATATTGTTTCCCATTCCTCGCTCCCTCGTGCTTTCAGATCTGAGCGACGAAGAGGTTGAGGATGTGAGGTTCAAGCAGAACTGGCTGGTGTACTGGTGGTGGCGGACACGCGACCACAAGGTGTGCCCGCTCTAACCTCTCCCTTCAATTTTTCCTCCATCGCCCCCTTCCTTTTCCGTCCAACCTTAACAGATCTGAGCGACGAGGAGGTCGAGGATGTGAGGTTCAAGCAGAACTGGCTGGTGTACTGGTGGCGGCGGGCACGCGACCACAAGGTGGAGCCGGACATTGCAGCAGAGCGGCTGGCGTACTGGATCTCCAGGAGCACTGTGAAGCCCACGGCGCATGATGCTGTGGATGGTGAGTCAAGCAAGTCAAGGGAGTCAAGGGATGCAAGGGTTGCAAGTCGACAGGGTCAATAAATTCAAGGGATGCAACTGGGTGAAGATGAGCGGCTGGCGTACTGGATCTCCAGGAGCACTGTGAAGCCCACGGCGCATGATGCCGTGGATGGTGAGTCAACGGGAGTCAATGGAGTCAAGGGAGTGAAGGTAGAGATGAGCGGCTGGCGTGCTGGATCTCCAGGAGCACTGTGAAGCCCACGGCACACGATGCTGTGGATGGTCAGATGAAGGGAGGGCTGTATGGTTGTGATGGCAGGGTAATTGGGTCAAGGGAGTGAATGGAACGGATGGAGTCAAGGGAGTCAAGGGAGGTCAGGATCGCACACACATGTTTGCAATGTGCCGCATGCACAGCGCACGCACACACGCCGAGTTATTGTGCACACATGCATCATTTGACACCCACTGAGCACCTCCGCTCCCCCCTCAAACACACATGTGTTGGCAATGTGACGCATGCATGCACAGCGCACACACGCGCGACGAGTTATTGTGCACACATGCAGCAACTTCGGACACCCACTGAGCGCCTTCCCTTTTCCCTTTTCCTCCGCCACCCACCCCTTCTTTCTCCCCCGCCTGCCCCCCTCCCTTCCCCCCACATTCCCCTCCTCTTCTTCCTCTGTGCTCCTCTGGCCCCCCCTGTTCGTCCCTCTTTTCCTACCAATGCTGATGTCACAATGATGTCATGCTGATGTCACCAGCGGAGCGCGGGCTGATGGAGGTCCGCAAGCTCAACCTGGAGCAGCAGATGTGGGATGCTTCCAGGAAGGATCTCGTTGCCGAGGCTGCTGCAGCGGCTGCTGTTGCTGCCGTGGCTGCAGGACCACCACCCTCCAGCAAATAAGATGCATGCAGCACTCTGCACCGCTTTCCACCGCACTGGACCATGCCCTAGCTTTCCATACCACTGTACCAGCTGCTATGCTGGGGACTGACGAATGCCCTCGTTTGTGCTGCTGCTCGAGTAATCTCTTCTACTCCATGCCTTTCACTCATGTGGTTCATGGCTTCCTTTCTTGTGTCGCTCATGCTTTTTGGGTTGGTCATTTCAAACAAACAGCCTCTCTGTCAGGCTGGATTTCTAGGGTGTCAAATACATGTGGCAAATGGTCAGTTTTAGGATTGTGTAAAGCTAGTGTGAAGTACCTAGTCATAATTGATAAATAGTGTTGTCTATTCAGCTTCCATATATGGTATATTTTCTTATGTTAGTTGTGTAGATATATACTGGGTACATGTAACAGTTCAGTTGCTCGTCTTGGGAATGGCCTTGTGACGGGGTTAGGACGGGGGCTGGATGCATAACTGAAAGCTTTGCCAGGTGCTCGAGTTTTCTGGAAAACTCCGGGCTCTCCGCGGTTTATGGAAAGTGCTGCCTTGAAAAGCAAAACTTGCATGCGGCGAAACAAAACTCGCTTCGCAGGTGTGCTCTGCAGTTGGTGAGGATGGGGAGTTTTAAAACCAGGGTACACATTCAACGCGACTCCAGGCTAAATTTTGGGCGGCATGTTTGCGGGAACTGCTGATTGGTTGACGAGTAGCGAATAAATAGTTGAGAATGGGCGAGCATGGGGCTTTTCGTCCGTGAGAGATGAGGCTTGGCAGGGGAGAAATTGATAACACTTGGATCTAGAAATTGGGGATCAAGGGGAGGGCAACTGGGTTGGCGGAAAGGGGAAAGGGGGTGAGACGATATTGTGGGGGAAGGGGAAACAATTTCGGTGGGAGCGGAATAGGTATGGGGAGGGGGGAAACGAATTTGCGGAAGCACATTCGATGACTTCGGTATACATTTGCCAAATCTCGAGGGTTCAAATGTTCACCTGCTGAAGCGAACACTCCCCCCAGATATTCCTAAATCACTGAGTAACCCCGAGGTCAAAGGTTAACCTTTGACAGAAATCCAATTGAATGTGCACCCTGGTTTTAACTCAGGAAGCTTGACCGCGGACCGTTCTTCTCTGCAACGGCGGGCGAAATTCCCCACAACAGCTATGTAATTCTATCTACCCTTTCTTCCCAACCAAATTCGGGCATGGCATTGATGAAGGATGATGGACCATGGTGAATGGCGACGACGACCATCAGGCATGCAAGTTGGTGTGCTGACATGGCAAACAGCGGTGGATGATGTGTAACGATAAGATGAACTGTGCTCAGATGAACTGTGCAACATCCATCCACCGTCCCACCAGCAACAATCAATTTCGGGGTAATTACATTCTGGGTAACCAACATCGAGCCCGCTGACGTCAAAAGTCACCTACGTGGCTCGATGGTACCCGTCAGATCATGCGCACCCCTTGGTGGTACCCATCTTCCCTCCGTGGTACCCATCTTCCCTGCGTGGTACCCATCAACTGTGCGTGAATTCCCTGACTGGTACCGCAACATTTCAACCGAGCTGTACACCGTACAACAAGGGTTTCAATGCGATTTTTTTTTTTTTGGTCCCGAGTTGCGCGTTTGCTATGAACTCGACGAATAATTTGGAATATCCCGTAACTTCAAACAAATATGTATTTGTGGACTCCCAAGGGGAAGCGGAAAAATAATATGCCCCAAGGTATTGGACGCAAGCGCAAAGCAAAGCGCTGTCAAAACCACTACACATAGGAATCGGAAACTGGAAAACACGGCGCTCCGTCATTTCCTCGAAATCCTTCCACAAGACGAACTTTCCGCTCACGCGCTGCGGCTTTTTCCCCACCACGAGTCGACCCAACCCAACCCAACCTCGCCCCGCTGTTGCCCCACCAACGAATCCGCTCGCGCCAATCCCCCAACCTTGCATCGAAAATGTCGTGCGATTCCCCCACCCGTTGCGCCATTTTCCCCAACCTGTCACCCCTCGTAGTACGTTTCACCAGTCACTGCCGTTTCTCTGTTATGCCACCGCTCTGTTCCGCCCCGCTTCGTCCCGCTGCACTCCACCCCACCCTGCTCCGCACCACCCCCAACCCAGCACCATCTCCGCGGCACCTCGCTCGCTCACTTGCGCCCTCCCTTCCCCTCCCCTCTGTGTCTCTTCGTGCTTTCCCTGCTTGCTTGGAACTTGAAACGCATTTCGCGGCCAAAAGCACGCACGTCTCCTTCACCCCCCTCACGGATTTTGGCGTCAGGACTGCTCTTCCACCCATTCCTTCCCATTCGCGATTCCCTAAGCCACTCGCAATTGGGCTGGTTGCTGCGCGAGCAGGCAAATTCTGACTCGCATTTCTGGCAGCTTGACAGCTGGCTGTGGGAGGGGTACGATACTGTAGCTCGTGTTGCGGCTTCTTCTGACAGATTAGGCGTTTAATTTTTCATTTCCATGACTAGAGAGTGCGATGGGGGAATGGTAGACGTAGACCTGGAATTCAAGCACGCCCCGGATATTGCCGTAATGTCGCGAAGCGCTAGTGACGCGGAAGAACGGCGCGGAAGGGCCGGATGGCATGGCGGGACGGCGGGCGGCAAGAATGGCGGCACGGCTCGAGACACGCTGCTGGAAGATTCGTTCTTAATTCCGAATTCCGGCCACGTCCGCGCCGCGCTCATGATCGACGGGATTGTGTGGCACAGAGTGGACGAATCCGCGAGTCAGGTAATTAATAAGAATAGGTGTGTTTCGAGTCGACTTTAGACGAGCTCGTAGTACTTTTTTCAGGTGGTCAACAGGTGCTGTATCGGTCGGTAGGTACGAACACGTGGGCCATTCCACGAATGACAGGTCAGTCTTATCGCCCTGCGTCCGTTTCCACTCGCTGTATCCGTTAGCTTTTCGTACGTAAATGAGAAACGGTTCGAGGACTCCGTCGCTTACGGCGCAGGCGCATTTCGTCACATTGCGGTCAATTCTCGATGCCATCTCTTCGTTCGTCATTTCCTCGTCCGTCAATTTTCTCCGCCGATTCTCGTCCGTCTATTCTCCTCCGTCAATTCCTGCCTCGGTACATAGACCACCTTCATCCCTCTTCCTTATTCCTACCCCTCGGAGGTGATTTTTCAGTCGACTAAAAGCTTGCCTCCTGCTTTATCCTTCCTCCTTATTCCCATCCCCTTCCTTGCCCCTTTCTTAAGCACTCTAGATGATTCTTTTTCCTTTCCATGTCTCTTTCCGTGTTCTCCACTCAGGGGTGCCCTGCAACCATTCCGTGCCACGACTGCGCCCTGGGACAGCCGAATGCCAGCTCAGCACCCATCAGCGAAATCTACGCCGTCGAAATGCTCCCAGAGGCATCCGTTAAGAGCAGCTTCTTTGCGAGTCCCGTTAAGGTACACTCCCCTGGTGATACTACATCGTGGTAAGGATTTTGGTGATTTTTTTGTTTAAATCTTGACGGACTCGCGACCAGATAGCCTCTGACGAGAAGGGCTTCCCCCGGAAGGAGATAGGCGAAAGGACCCCCCGTGTTCGACGGCAACGCTGACAAGCGAATGAGAGATAGGCGCGAGGGGAGCGCGTGAAAATTGCGCGGCCGGCGCTACTTGTCCTCATCCGCTGCTATCTTCGCCCCCATTCACTCTGGACCTCGTCCTCCCCCCTCCCCCCCGCTTCCTCCTCCCCCCTCACCTCGCCCCTTCCCGCATATCTTCCCCTTGCTTTCCCATTCAACCCCTCCCCTTCCCTGCCCTCCAACCCCTCCTCCGCCTCCCATCCGCTCCCCTCCCCCCGCACTCCCCCCGCCTTCCCACCTCCGCGCGCGCGCAGATGCATCAGTTCGCGGTGCACACGTTCCGCCGCTCCGCCGACCGTTGGATCCCGCTCAAGCTCGCCTTCTGCCACGTCAGCGCTGACGTGTGCCAGCAGTGGTCGGACCGCATCCTCTCGCTGCTGCGCGCCGACCCGGAGCGCCCTAGGAGCCTCTTAGTGTTCGTGAACCCTATAGGCGGGCGGAAGAAGGGATTAAAGACATGGGAGGCGGTGCGACCCGTGTTCGATCGCGCAGGAGTCGCCGTGCAGGTGCGACGGTGGTTACCACAGAGTTCGCGATTTTTTATGGCGAACAGTAGCAGCAGCAAGCACCAAACCTACGTCCTTCTCCGCGTAGTGGAATTTCGCGAGTTTCGCTGCGGTCGTAGGCTTGCACGTTTACGAACATTAGTAATGTTATTTTTCACAACCTGTTTCGTTGGTCGCAGGTGGTGGTAACCAGCCGTCGCAACCACGCGCGCGACATGCTGCAGAACGCGTCGGACAAGGAGCTTTGCCAGCTGGACGGGATCATCGTCGTGGTGAGTCGCACACATCAGTGTCGCACGCGGAGTCGCACACTCAGTAGCACTCATATTGTCGCACACCAGCCGCACGCAGCGTCGCACACACATTCGCACAGCCACACAAGCGCACAAGGGCGAGCGGCAGAATGACGTGATGAACTCCCCTTCCCTCGCCCCCCCGTCGTCCCCTCCGGGCGGAGTCGACGCTTTCAACAACGCGCTTTCCCCTCGCCCAGTACTCATTCTGCGTTGTGCCCCTCCAAACCCATCCCAACTCCATTTTCTCCTTCCCTGCTTCCCCCGCCGTCAGGGCGGCGACGGGCTGTTCAACGAGGCGCTCAACGGGCTGGCGAGGCGCCGATGCTGTGTTGCACCCCATCTCAAACCATCTCAACCCATCCCAACCCCATTCCCTTCACCCCCACCCTCAGGGCGGCGACGGGCTGTTCAACGAGGCGCTCAACGGGCTGGCGAGGCGTCGCCATCGCGCCTTCCCGTGCGTGCGCCCCGCGCGCCTGCGCCTCCCCCCGCCCTCCACTGCCCCATGCGGCGCCGGCAGAAGCGGGAGTGACAGGGGAAGGAGCGGGAGCGCAGATGGGAAGGGTGCAGTGGGAAGCAGATGTGGGAGTGTAGGAAAGGAGGAGTTTGGATTGAATGGAGCTATGTTGGTTAAGGGCTGTGGGCCAGGCGCAGGGGATTCAATATTAAGAGGCGATTTAGGAGCTGATTTGGGATCAGAAAACGATTTGGAACAACTGCCAGCGTTGCAGGGCGCTTCATTAGCAGAGAACGAAGAAGAGGATGAGAGGGAGGAGAGGGAAGAGAGGGAGGAGAGGGAGGAGGAGGAGGAGGAGGAGGAAGGGGAAGGGAAGGCAGCTCAGGAGCTTGTAGTTGTTTCAGATGGCAATACTGCTTATGCTGATGCTGGCACTGCTGGTTGTGCAAGTGTTGGTGCCGCAGGTTCGGACCGAGCCTGCGCTCCAGGTTTGGGGAGAAAGCTGACGCTCGGTAGGTTCTGCAGGCAGGAGAGCGAGTTGGTGGCGGCAGGTGCAGTGAATCTGGACACGGGCAGTGCAGGACAGGCAGGTGGGGTGAAAAAGGGAGGAGACGGGGAGAGGAGTGGGGAGGAGAGAGGAGGGGAGGAGGAGGGGGAGGAGGAGGAGGGGAGGGAGGGGAGGAAGCGAGTGGGAAGCAAGGGATGGTTGGCTGCTGCAGGGTTGAAGTTGACCAACTGGCGGCGCGATAGTGACAAGGGCACTGACACATGCGGACAAAACGGCGGGCGGCACGCTGACGTGGACGGTGATGATTCGCCGAGAGGAGGCGTCAATCTTTTTAGTCTGGATACTTCTGGAGGGTTAAATACTCCTGGATTAGAGACTCCTGCCGGCTTTAATACCCCGGGCGGTTTAAATACTCCTGCCGGCTTAAACACGCCAGCTGGGTATGGGTATGACACTCCTAAAGGCTACTATGCGACTCCTAAGGCCGGATCGTACTATGAGACTCCTAAGCCTGGTAATGGCGGCTCGGGTGGATATTATTTCCCTACTCCTAAGGAGGGGGGCGGCGGGGTGAAGGGATTTTACGAAACGCCCAAGGGGCAGCAGGCTCGGCGCAGCTTCGGCCGAACCAGTTTTGGTCCGGGGGTTAGAAATGCGACGTTTTTGAGTGACTGGGGGACGGTGCGGGAGGGGGAGGAGGGGGAGGAGGAGGAAGGGGGAGAGGAGGGGGTGGAGGAGGGAGGAGTGGAGGAGTGGGGGGAGGGAGGAGTGGGAGAGGATGGCGGAGTGGGGTTGTGTCTACCTAGGCGGCTGAGGATTGGCATCATCCCTGCTGGATCCACAGATTGCATTGCCATGAGGTGAGGGAGAGCGTGAGGTTTGATGGACACATATATGTGTCCAGGAGGCGGAGGATGGATTGACACACATGTGTGATGAACCATAAGCACTCCCTACCACCTCACTCTACCCTGCCTCCTCCCCCCACTTCCCTCCCAAAATCGTTGCTCTCATTGCCGTGGCCCACCCCTTGTCACCGGCCTCAACCCCTTCTTCCCTCTCACCCCGTGTCACCGCTTTGCACCCTTGTCTTTTCCTCCTGCAGCCTCGTTGGTTCCCGAGACCCTGCCACGTCAGCACTGAACGTTGTGATTGGCCGACGCACTCCCATGGATGTTGTGCGGGTAACTTCCTGGAAAACCGCCTCCTCCTCCCCCACCTCCTCCTCCTCCTCTCCCTCCCCGTCCTCCCCCACCTCCTCCTTCAACCCTCCTGCTACCTCCTCAAACCAAACGTCACACACCCCGTCCGAGCCTACATTCTTGCCGAACCTCTCATCCGAACCTACAGACCTGGCTTCCGGCCAAGCCACCGTCCTTGCTTCGGTATCTCCCCTCTCCTCCTCCCCCGATTTCTCCTCTTCCGCCCCCGCTTCCCCCTCCTCCCTGTCCTCCTCCCCTTCGGCCCTATCCGAATCGTCAATGACTCGGTTCCAGGTTGGCGCTGACTCAGCAGCCGAGGTTGCTGAGTCAGCACAACCGGCAAAAGCAGAGGAAAGAGGAGATGCGGGAGGGTGGGTGGAGAGAAGAGAGATAAATGCAGTGAAGGAAGGAGTAGCGGAAGCTTCCAGGAAGGAGGACGAGCAGCAGCAGATGGAGTGCGATGTCCGATACGCTGCATCATTCTTCGGGTAATTTACCCTGCTTCTTGTTGTGTACACCAGTAACATATTAACACTTGAATAAATTAACCGTCCGTATTCCCAAAGCTCCTCCGTTCCTCGTTCCTTCCTTCCGTTACCTCTGCCCCTCTTTACCCCTGGTTGACCAACATTTGAGACGTCTTAAAAACCCCCGACTTTTTCACCACCCACTCCCCCTCTTTTCCGCCCCTCCCCAAATATGGTTTCTATGGGGCAGTGACAAAGGAGAGTGAGGCAATGAGGTGGTTGGGACGCGCATTTGCCTGTGCGACTTAAAGCTCCCCCTTTTCCCCTACCCTCACTGCTCTCTCTTCGCCCCTGTCCCTCCCTCCCCCTCCTTAACTCCAGGTATTCTATGGTGCAGTGATAAAGGAGAGCGAGGCGCTGAGGTGGATGGGGGGATCCGCCTCTGCCTGTGCCACTGGGCTCTCATGCGCGAGTCAACTCCCCCCTTGTTCCCTCCCCCCTTGCACTCCCCTCCCCCCTCCCTCCCCAGCTACGGTTTCTACGGTGCAGTGACCAAAGAGAGCAAGGCGTTGAGGTGGATGGGAAGCGCATCTGCCACTCAATGCTCCCCCTTAGTCGACTAAAAAACAAGCGCATCTGCCTGTGCCACTCAATGCTCCCCCTTTGCCCCGACCCTCACTGCCCTCTCTCCGCCCCTGTCCCTCCCTTCCCCTCCCTTATCCCCCAGGTACGGCTTCTATGGCGCAGTGACAAAGGAGAGCGAGGCACTGAGGTGGATGGGGCCAGCAAGATACGACTATGCAGGGTTCATGACTTACATGCGCCACAGGTGGGTGGGTGGGTGGGTGGGTGGGTGGGTGGGGGGGGGGGGTCAAGTTCTAATGCATGCAGCACGGATGGATGGGGCCTGCCAGATACGACTATGCGGGGTTCATGACTTACATGCGCCACAGGTGGGTGGGTGGGTGGGTGGGTGGGTGGCACAGGTGGGTGTTTGTGGGGGAATGATTGGAATGTGCGGGATAAAGTGCATGCGCCACAGCGGGATGGGGCCCGCAAGATACGACTATGCGGGGTTCATGACTTACATGTGCCACAGGTGAGTGGGGTGGAAAACGCAAGCGGGCGAAAAGGTGGGGGCGTTTGTCCTCTCCTTCAAATGTGTCCCGTCTCCCTCTTTCTCCCCCTCTCCCCCTCCTCTTCCCCTCCCCTCTCCTCCATCACCTCATCTCCTGTCTCCCTCTTTCTCCCCCTCTCCCCCTCCCCTCTTCCCCTCCCCTCTCCTCCTCCATCTCCTCATCTCCTGTCCCCCTCTTTCTCCCGCCCAACCAGGTCGTACGAAGCAGAGGTGTCATTCTTCCACGTGCCTGAGCCTGACCAACCTTCCATGCACAGAAGAAGGTAACTCTCAGCTCACAGCATTCCCACCCCCTCATGCCACTGCCTGAGGCGCCTCAAAAGTTTTTTCCCGAGCCTCAAGCCCCTTGCGCCTTCCACATACCGAGCCAGCCGAGCATTCCATGCACTGACTCCTTCCTGCCTTTGAGTCGACTCAAAAGCATTCCATGCACTGACTCCTTCCTGCCTTTGAGTCGACTCAAAAGCATTCCATGCACTGACTCCTTCCTGCCCACCCCTTCATTCCCCTGCCCCTTGCGCCCCACCCATACACCATGCTGCTGGCTTAACCTTCCATGTTTCAATACCAGATATTATACTTCAAACTCCACCACCAAAACTATCCTTACTCGTAATATCACATATCTTATTGCTTCCGTACCCTTATCTCCTCCTCCTGTTCCCTCCCCTCACTCATTCCCTTGCGGCCTGCCCTGTCCTATCAGCACCACGCCTCATCCAGAGATCTGCACCGTTGGATGCTCGGTGTGCGCCAACGGCCAGGATCTCTCGCTGCTGGCGCGATCCGCCCTGGGATTCGAGGCCATAGGCCCATCCCAGTCAGCTGTGGGTCTGGCCTCCCTTCTCACCCCTCTCAACCGCACTGATGTTGATACTGCTGCTGATACTCTTGCTGTTACTGCGGCTGCTGGTTCTGCTGCTGATGCTGCTGCTTTTTCGCCTTCTTATCAGCCTCCTCCTGTCTCTCCCACTGCCGCCGCTTCTGCTGCTACAGCCGCAGAAGCTGATAAGCACAGGGTCTTCCCACCTACCTCACCTCCTCCCCCTTCAACCACCACTGCCACTACTACTGCTATTCCCCCAACAGTTGCTGCATATTTTGAGTCTACTACAGAATGTTCTCATAACAGTAGTAGCACCACAGGTCAATCTCCAGATGCTGACGTGGCAGTCTCGGATTCGGCGGAGCCTCTGATGTGGGACGACGCAACGCCAGGCTGGCGCACCGTGAGAGGCCGGTTTCACAGTGTGGGCGGCGCGGTGATCTCGTGCCGCAACGACAAGGCGCCAGATGGCGTCGCGGCACACGCCCACCTGGCGGATGGGAATCTGAACCTCATCATGATCCGCGAGTGCTCACGTGCCGAATACCTCCAGTAAGTATAATCTCCCCTATAATCTCCCCTGTTGCTGACTTAATTTTGATTTCTCCATTGAGCACTATGTTCTCAGCGAGCTGGTGTCTCGGCCGTATCAGTGGTAAGTTGTGTCTGTGTACGATTGCATTCTTGCATTGGTAAGTTGTGTCTGTGTACGATTGCATTCTTGCATTGGTAAGTTTCCGGCCGCCGTACGAGCACACGCAATGACAAGGCGCCAGATGGCGTGGCGGCACACGCCCGCCTGGCGGATGGGAACCTGAACCTCATTATGATCCGCGAGTGCTCACGCGCCGAATACCTCCAGTGAGTAGCTTTTACCTCCACTAGTCACCAGTACTGACGTTCGCTGCAGCAATTCCTGCACACGCCCACCTGGCGGATGGGAATCTGAACATCATCATGCTCGCGGGCAGAATACCTCCAGTGAGTGTTTTTCTTTCTTCCAAAACTTTTCGCTCGTTCTTTTCGTGTATTTGTGATTTTATGGATGTCTTTCACTGTGTCTGGCTGCTGTGAGGGGTGCAGCAGATCCATTCTTAGAAGATCTCAAACCATGTATCCATTTGTTATAAGATCTCAAATATAGATCTCAAATATAGATCTCAAATATAGATCTCAAATATAGATCTCAAATATAGATCTCAAATATAGATCTCAAATATAGATCTCAAATATAGATCTCAAATATACCATGTATTAATCTGTCCGTCCATGTATCCACCCACTCGCAGGCAGCTGCTGTGTCTGGCCATAAAGGGAGCTGATCCCCTCGACTTCCACTTCGTCCAGCATCACAAGGTTGGTAACCCACAGCACCGCTTCACACCGCCTCACATCCACTCACACCAGATCGCGTCTCCTCACCCCGTTTCACACCGAATTACACCGCTTCTCAGCTGCTGCTGTGTCTGACCATCAAGGGGTCAGATCCCCTTGACTTCCACGTTGTCCAGCATCACAAGGTGGGTTTGGTTCCCACTCACTTGCTCCACCGCTTGGCACCGTTTCACACCATCCCACACCATTTTGCATCGTACCTATCCTCACAGACGGATGTTTTGCTGTGTGCAAAGCCGCTAAGTCCGGTATATCAGGTGGAGAGATTCCCAAACTTCTCACGCCAACTTTTGAGGCGCCGCGCCTCAGAAGGAAGATTCTCAGATCATTGCGCACCATCTCAAACCATTGCGCACCATCTCAAACCATTGCGCACCATCTCGAACCATTGCGCACCATCTCGAACCATTGCGCACCATCTCGAACCATTGCGCACCATCTCGAACCATTGCGCACCATCTCGAACCATTGCGCACCATCTCAAACCATTGCGCACCATCTCAAACCATTGCGCACCATCTCAAACCATTGCGCACCATCTCAAACCATTGCGCACCATCTCGAACCATTGCACACCATCTCGAACCATTGCGCACCATCTCGAACCATTGCGCACCATCTCGAACCATTGCGCACCATCTCGAACCAATGCGCACCATCTCAAACCATTGCGCACCATCTCAAACCATTGCGCACCATCTCAAACCATTGCGCACCATCTCAAACCATTGCGCACCATCTCGAACCATTGCGCACCATCTCAAACCATTGCGCACCATCTCGAACCATTGCGCACCATCTCAAACCATTGCGCACCATCTCGAACCATTGCGCACCATCTCGAACCATTGCGCACCATCTCAAACCATTGCGCACCATCTCAAACCATTGCGCACCATCTCGAACCATTGCGCACCATCTCAAACCATTGCGCACCATCTCAAACCATTGCGCACCATCTCAAACCATAGCGCACCATCTCGAACCATTGCGCACCATCTCGAACCATTGCGCACCATCTCGAACCATTGCGCACCATCTCGAACCATTGCGCACCATCTCAAACCATTGCGCACCATCTCAAACCATTGCGCACCATCTCGAACCATTGCGCACCATCTCAAACCATTGCGCACCATCTCGAACCATTGCGCACCATCTCAAACCATTGCGCACCATCTCGAACCATTGCGCACCATCTCAAACCATTGCGCACCATCTCGAACCATTGCGCACCATCTCGAACCATTGCGCACCATCTCGAACCATTGCGCACCATCTCAAACCATTGCGCACCATCTCAAACCATAGCGCACCATCTCGAACCATTGCGCACCATCTCAAACCATTGCGCACCATCTCAAACCATTGCGCACCATCTCAAACCATAGCGCACCATCTCGAACCATTGCGCACCATCTCGAACCATTGCGCACCATCTCGAACCATTGCGCACCATCTCGAACCATTGCGCACCATCTCGAACCATTGCGCACCATCTCAAACCATTGCGCACCATCTCAAACCATTGCGCACCATCTCAAACCATTGCGCACCATCTCGAACCATTGCGCACCATCTCAAACCATTGCGCACCATCTCAAACCATTGCGCACCATCTCAAACCATTGCGCACCATCTCGAACCATTGCGCACCATCTCGAACCATTGCGCACCATCTCAAACCATTGCGCACCATCTCAAACCATTGCGCACCATCTCGAACCATTGCGCACCATCTCAAACCATTGCGCACCATCTCAAACCATTGCGCACCATCTCGAACCATTGCGCACCATCTCAAACCATTGCGCACCATCTCGTAGCGTCTCAGTTGTTTCCCCCCACTCTCTCTCCTCCATCATCCCCACTATTCCGCTCCCATACTCCCTCTCTCCCCCTCCCCCCAGACCCCAGCGTTCACATTCAAGGCAATGGGCAGGGCTTTTGGAATGTGGATGGTGAACTGGTGGACGCGAGTGAGCTGTCACCTCAGGGGTTTCCTCTCCCTCCTTTCCCTCCTTCATCCCCACTTTCCACCCCCAGACCCCAGCGTTCACATTCAAGGCCATGGGAGAACAAGGCTTTTGGAATGTGGATGGTGAACTGGTGGAGGCGAGTGAGCTGTCGGCCCAGGTGTTCCGAGGGATGGTGGACATGTTTGGCAGCGGACCGGATGTGTGAGGTGTGAGGGAGGGAGTGTGAGGGAGTGGGGGAGATTGAGTGGATACAGGAGGGGTGGTGGATATGTTCTGCAGTGGGCCGGATGTGTGCAGTGTGAAGGAGTTAGGGAGTGAGGGAGTGGGGGAATGACTAGAGGATGGTGTACATGTTGGAGGGGTGTAGTGAGCTTATTAGTTCTGTAAAGAATTCTAACATGCACCTAATGGTGTGTGTGTGGTAGAGGTTAGTAGGTAGTGGCATGGGTGTCGAGGGTTGTTGGTTCTAATGTAAATCTCAATTGCAGTATAAATGCACGTGACGAATTGTAGGCCGTATGTAAGAAGTGTTATGCTGCAGTTTTTCTATGGCTGTGCTCTATTGGATGGGAGATCAGACCAGGGCCTCAGATGTCAGGAATTTTACCCTGAATTCCTGAAGTTTGACCCTTGTTTTTTATTGCGACCCTGATGGATCAGCCTTTTTTTTTTAGCGACCCTGATGGATCAGTGTTTTATTTTGTAGAACACTGAATTTTCAGTGTTTTGTGTTTGCAGACACTAACGAGTCAGTGTTGTATCGGGGTTGACCCTGAAACCGAAACTCCGTGTTTCTCGCATATTGGCGCGCCGCCTGGAACTAGGGGGATGTATATGCATTAATTGAAGTAGCTTTACTGTACTGTGCACCACCTTTCAAAACCCTCTTCCGATGATTTGGTGCGCTGCGCACTCCTTCTGGTTCGTACACCTGATTGGCTTCTGAACTTGCGCTGGCTCATCCATTGATGGTGACGCGTCCGATCGCGGCCAATCAGTGCATGCTACTACAACTCCACATAATTCTTCGCCCGCGGTATCAGCGATTTCGTCAGAGTCGTCGTCTGCTAATCGTAAGAGCCAGCGAAACAAGGCCTGCCCCAACCATGAGTCCGCACTGTTCTCCATCACTCGTTCCTCCTCCCGAATCTCCAAGCTCGATGGTTCCGAGGGACTTTTGATAATGCCGCCAAATACACGAGGGCGGAGCAGACAGAGAGCTGATTGGCTGAACCTCCGCTAGATTTGATGGGCGGACAATTTCCGTCATGCAACCTTGAGATTGGTTTTTGCCGGGCGTCGCACGAGTGCTGGCGGGACGGTGGGCTAGGAGCTATCCCGCCTATTCATTTTCAATGCATGCAGCACGGTTTTGTTTGGTGTGATACGGTCTAAGGCAGTAACTAGTCAGAACCGCGTCTTACCGTGCGCTAACACGCGGAACCGCAACGTACCATCAACAGACAAACACGTGGAACATATTATGATGAGTGGGGCCACAGTGTGTGCATTTACAGTTCATGTATCCTCTTGTTCAGACTTGTGACTTTAGTGGTTCAAAGCATATAACCGCTCGAAATTGCACATCAACGTACTCAACCGCAGTAATAAACTAAAATATACTGCTAACTCTCACCTCCCTCCCTGACTCTCATGCCAAGGTTGGAAAGGGAGAAAGTGTCTGTCTTGCTCATCGAGGGTCCAACGATCTCTCTGGAACGCCAATCACAGGGGCCTCATGTCCTCGCAGCGGGTTGGCCTGTCGTCACCCCATTGGTTACATTCTTGGCTTGGGCTTTACCACGTGCATTTTATACCTTAGACTCGCGGCTTTCGTGGCGTGTATTTAAGGTACTAGCTTTCTATATGGTGGGCCCGCCAGCCTGACAACGTGGAAAAAAGCATACAAAGAGCACTTTCCGTTCTTCTTCACGCAAAACCTGTCACGTTTCCTCATTATTAGCATCCTCAGGTTCCGCCATTCCGCCTCCACGAGCTCCCATTCGTCCTTGGCCTGTAACCCTTCTCTGCTTCCTCCACATTCCATGTCTCAAGACTTTATTCACTTCGCAACCCCTTATTAGCTGAACGCTTTTCCGCTACCTCCTACCAGGCCATGAGTTTCCAAGTTTGCTAAGAGAGTTCATGAATAACACCCTTCTGACCACCGCAGCTTCCTGATTTTCATGGATATTGCCTGATAATACAAATGACCGTTGCCTCTTTCTTATCCCCAGGCTTGCACCCGACTCAACCGCTTCCAACCCTGTCCATGCACGCTCAAGACCATGTCCAAAGTTTCCGGCTTTTGAGTCGATTAGAAATTGATTGCTCGTTAGTATCCTATTCATGCACAATCTAGATCATGTCCAAAGTCTTCGGCCCTAAACGGGTCACCGTGCCAGCCGCCGCGAAACCCGGAGCTTCTATGTCCCGGATATCATCATCGTACGGCGTAGAATGGTCGGGGGTTGATCGCGACTGGATTCACAGGGACGGACGGCATGAGAGGGAGAATTGGAAGGAGATTTTGGAAGCGGACGGGGAGGCTCAGGAGGAGGGGGAGGAGGATGAGGAAGAGGAGGAGGATCCCGTGTGTCCGCTCTGCATCGAGCATCTCGACGAAACCGAAGTCCGATTTCGACCCTGCCCGTGCGGGTAAATCTCCGTCAGCGCTTTCTCATTTTCTTCTTCTTGAAGAGAAAATGCTTGTATGCTACAGAGCAGAGTGTACAAGGAGCGCGAAATGAGCTGCGCGAAGCAGTTCTTGGCGGGGATTTTGAGCCTGGCTGCTGACATTGCAAGGCCACAGAGCCCTCGGACCCGTGCAGCCCTGGTAAGCGCAGTTTTCTCTTTGCAAGTCTACCAGGTGAAGCGAGGACTGAAGATATGTATACCCCTCGTCTGGTCATCCCTAACGTTTCGTGGTTGTGACAATTGTCTTGTTTCCCTCCCTTTCATTTTTTGAACGGTCCTTTCGCCTGCGTTCTTCCTTTCTCGTGTCCTCTAGGCAAAAATCGTCCTCGCCAGCTCTATCTTGTCTTCCCATGCTCCCCTTCCCTCCCCCCACCGCCTCACCCTCTTCTCCTGGCCGTCAGGTACCGCGTGTGTCTCTTCTGCTACGAGCGTATCAAGCTTGAACTCAACAGCCTCTGTCCCAGCTGCCGCACCCCCTACGGCGTCCCCCAACCTCCCTCCCCGTCCGCTGCTGATAAGCCAGCCGCAACAGCCAGAGCCGCGACTGGAAAGAAAGTGAAGGGTGCAGCCAATGGGCGAGTGACAGGTGGCAGCGGCGGGCTGGAGAGCAGCGGGAAAGCGGGAGAAAAGGGTCGAGGAGGAGGGGGGAGTGTAGTTGTGGGGTATGGGGGCGGAGGCGGCTGGGGAGGAGGAGGAGGGGTGGTGGTAGTGCGAACGTCCGTTGGTCCTGGCAGGCTTACAGGAAGTGGTGGGACTGGCCAGGCTGATATCCTCGCTGGCTCTACTAACGGCATTGCTGCTGCTGCTGTTGCTGGTGCTGGGGTGGGGACTGGGGGAGGGGTTGCTGCTGGGGCTGCTGGTGCTGGTTTCGCTGGTATCGGCGGTGGTTTTGGTGGGATGATGGGAGGAATGAGGGGGTTCAATCCGCCAATGTCTGCCATGGCGTCTTCGCCTCTCATGCAGCTCTCGCCCTCCTCGCCACTCACTGGTATGTATGCATCCCACTCTCGTTGACTTTTGAGTCGACTCCAAAGTTAACTCGTCTTCGCCTCTCATGCAGCTCTCGCCCTCCTCTCCACTCACCCGTATGCATCTCACCCGCTCTGCATCCCACCTGATCTCTCTCTTTCCGCGCAACCCTCCTCTGCGCCCCCTCCACAGTATCCCCTCCCCCCTTCTTCTGCACATCCTTCTCGGCGTTCGTTTCTGATGTTCATATCCTGGCATCCTGTCAAGTCGCTTCAGCTGCTTTTTCACGCGTCTCAACACCTACAGTCTTTACGGTGGCTGTTTTCTCTGAGCTTGCAGTTTAACTCGAGTCAAGTTTCACATCACATCATACAACTTGCTGTTGCGCAAATACTGTCCAACCCACCCTTCCTCTCCTCCTTCCCCCTTCCCTCCCTCCTCTCTCGCTCTCTCCGCGAATCCCCCCCCGCCCATCCCTTCTCTCTGTGTGCGTGTGCACTGCAGCATCGCATAAGACCGTGTGGGAAAGACCATCGTATCTCAACCACTCACCCCTCTCCTGGGTCTCCACGTCATCCTTATTAGGATCCACGTCATCCCTGCTGGGATCCACGTCATCCCTGTTGGGCCCTCACGCACCTCTCAACTCCCCACCGCACCATCCGCTCCCTCCTTCCTCCTCCTCCTCCTCCTCCTCCTCCTCCTCCTCCTCCTCCTCCTCCTCCTCCTCCTCCTCCTCCTACTCCTCCTCCTCCTCTTCCTCCATCTCCTTCCTAACACCCTCAACTGCATCAGCCTCTTCTATTCCAATCAATCCTGGAACTTCAATGAGTACGGCTACAGCCTCTTCAGCTGCCTCTTCTCCTGCTACTGCCTCTTCTATCTCTTCCTCTTCTCCTTCCTCCTCTACTACCTCCGCGACCTATTCCCTCACACCCTCAGCCAGTAACCACGTTCCCCCACCACCAGCCGGAGTGCTTACTGCTACAGTCCCCGCCGCTACAACCGCTGCTGTGGAGCGGGCTCTAGCATCTGTAGCCGCAGGGCAAGCCAGGCGCCCAGGTCAGGTGAACAGTCAGGTGCATGGTCAGGTGCTGGCACAGGGGCAGGGACAAACCCAGGAGCAGGGGCAGGGAGGGCACGGGCAGGGACAGGGAGCACAGGGGCAGGCGCAAGGGCAGGGAGGGGCGAATTTCGCACAGGGAGGGGCGAATTTCGCACAGGGAGGGGCGATTTTCGCGCAGGGAGGGGCGAGTTTCGCACAGGTGGGCCCTGTGATGCTGCAGCCAGGGCTGCGAGGGGCGAGTCTGGTGGCCTCCCTGCCCGCCCGCATCAGAGTGACAGGAGATGGCGTGCTGGCAGCTCCCTGGCCGCTGCTGGGAGGTGGAGCAGGGTTGGGAGGAGTGGGACTGGGAAGCGGAGTGGTACTGGGAGGTGGAGTGGGGCTGGGAGGAGTGGGACTGGTAGGGCGCGGAGGGGTTGTGAGTGGGGCTGGCGGTGGTAGTGCTGTTAGCAGTGGGAGTATCAGTGGTGGGATACTGGCAGGGTCTGTTGGTGCGTTAGGGCCAGGGGCGACGCCTCTTATGGGGTCTGCTGCAAGGAGGGGAGCTGCTGGGCTGATGAGTTCTGTTGCTGGTGTGGCCGGTGGTGGTTCGATCATTTCTGCCGCTGCTGCTGGTATAGCAGGTGGTGGTTCGGGTGGTTCTGCTGCTGGTGCTGGCGTGGCAGGTAGCAGTAGTGCCCTGATTGCCGGTCCAGAGATAATTGGAGTAGGTCTGGGAGCTATTGTGGCTGCTGCTGGGACTGCTGGGACTGCTGGGACGGTTGGGGCTGCTACAACAAGCTTGGTGGGTTGTTGCACTGCTGCAGCTTCTTCTGGAGCTGTTGTGGCTGCTGCTGGGGCTTCTGTGACGGCTGGAACTGCTGCAAGTGCTGGGGCTGCTGGTGGCACTGCTGGGACAATTGGGACTGCTGCAATGGGCGTGTCTGGTTCAGGCACTGCTGCAGCAGCTACTGGGGCTGTTGTGGCTGTTTCTCGGGTTGCTGGAACGGTTGGGGCTGTTGTGACTGCTGGGGCTGCTAAGACTGCTGGGACCGTTGGGGGGTCAGGCTTGGTTACTTCTTTGACTTCTTCCTCCTCTTCCTCCTCTTCCTCTTCCTCTTCCTCCTCCCCCCCACCCTCCTCCTCCTCCTCCTCCTCCTCCTCCTCCTCCTCTCCCCCGGCTTCCATCCCCATGTGTGTTGTTGGCACTCCAGACGTTAATAGCACTGCGAACGCCAGCAGCAGCACCAGCATCACAACTCCCAACAGTGGCACTGCTACCAGTGACAGCGGCAGTACTAGCAGAAGCAGCAGCAGCACCAGCACCACGACCAGCACCACGACCAGCACCACGACCAGCAGCAGCAGCAGCAGCGGAAGCAGCCCCATCAGCAGCGGCAGCAGCAGCAGCAGCAGCAGCAGCAGCAGCGGTACCAAAGGCTGCAGTGAAGAGAATGCCACGCTTCAAAGGGCGGGCAGCACACAGGCACAGTCAGAGACACACATAGATGCAGAGCCAGAACTGCAGACCGGCACACAGCAGCAGACAGGCACACAGCAGCAGACAGGCACACAGCAGCAGACAGGCACACAGCAGCAGACAGGCACATTAGATCAATCACAGGAAAACGCAGGGGCTTCACAGCAGCTGCTGCTGCAGCAGCAAGCAGCGGCAGCGGCAGCGGCAGCAGCGGCGGCGGCGGCGGTGGCAGCGGCAGGGGTGGTGGCAGGGGTGGGGGTGGGGTGGACAGAGGATGAGATGAAGCGAGCAGGGGAGATTGTGGCTGCAGCCAGGCGCACCCAGAGTAGATTCTCCTCCCTCTTTGCTGCCTCGGGCTGTGCTGCTGCGAGAAATACAGGGGCTTGTGGAAATGCTGGGGTTTGTAGGGATTTTGAGGTTTGTAGGAATGCTGGTGCTGGTGGTGGTGGTGGTGGTGGTGGTGAGTGTGGTGGTGCTAGTGCTGCTGCTGCTGAGGGGAGTAGCAGTACCAGCAAAGGCGGTGGTGGTGGTAGCTCGGATGACCCTACTGCTGCGGTTGCTGTTGCTGCTTCTGTACCTTCTGGGGCTAGTGGTGGTGATACTGGTGGTGCTAGTTGTGGTGGTGATACTGGTGGTGCTAGTGGTGGTGGTGATACTGGTGGTGCTAGTGGTGTTGGTTCTACTGGCGGTGATGGTGCTGGCGCTGGTGCTGGCCCTGGTGGTGGCGATGGTGGTGCTGCTAGTGCTGGAGATGAGGGTGGTATACATGAACTGCATGAGAATGACCACGAGGCACTGTGGGCCTGGATAGCCGGAGATGCTCCACTGCCCCATGCTGCCTCCTTCTCCTCTCTGCTCTCCACCCATACTCCCTGCTTAGCCCCTGCTTCTGCCACCACTGCTGCCACTGCTGCCACCACTGCTAATGCCTCTGCTGCAACCACTGCTGCAGCCCCTGCTGCTGTTGCTGCTTCTGCTTCTGCCCCTCCTTCTGGACTGAGCAGCCACCTTACGAAGTGGCACCACCAGCACCAGCACACACATGTTGCCCGTGCTTTCTCTGCCTCTGCTCTTCCGCTCCTCCCCTCCTCTCCTTCCATCTGGAGCCCTCTTACCTCCCCTCCTCAATTTGCTGCAGCAAGTATTGAACCCGCATCTCAGAAGCTGTGGCTGGGTCCAGTAGCACGTGGAGGGGAGGTATTATCTAAGGAAGGTGGAGGGGAGGTGTTGTTTGGGAGAGGTGGAGAGAAGTTGCTATCTCAGAAAGGCGGAGGGGAGGTGCTATCTGAGGAAGGTGGAGGGGAGGTGTTATTTAGAGAAGGCAGTTCAGAGGAGCAACCAGCAGCAAGTGCTAGCTCTGCTGGGAACACTGAAGCACCTGTGGCGGCGGCACTAGCAGGTGAGTCCCATGGTTGCTGCTTCGTGTAGCCCCTCCTTCCCAGGCTCTCTAAGGCGTCTCAGAGGAGCAACCAGCAGCAAGTGCTAGCTCTGCTGGGAACACTGAAGCACCTGTGGCGGCGGCACTAGCAGGTGAGTCCACGGTAAGGTTGCTTGCTGTCAATGCAGTTTCCCCCAGTATGTCCCCCCCACCCATCATCTCCCTCTCCTTCTCTCCTTCCCCCTCTCTCCATCTCCCTCCTACCACTCCCTGAGACGCACTCACAAGGGGAGTGCACTTTCATCCTCATTATAATGCTCCTCATAGTCTGCTGCACCGAATGTGCTCTCTTTTCTGTCTGTTTGTCTCTCTCCCCGCATCCTCCCCACCCTGTCCCCCACTCTCTCTCTCTCCATCTCCCCCCTTTTTGAGTCGACTCAAAAGTCTCTCCATCCTCCCCCCTTTTTTGTAACCTTGATTGACATGACAATGACCAGCAGTGACAGAGCCCTGTGCTCCTGACGGGCCTGAGTATAAGCTGACTGATGCTGCCTTGAATAACACTGATAGCAAACCCACCACGATCAGCAGCACTGCCAATAACAGCAGCAGCAGCAGCAGCAGCAGCAGCAGCAGCAGCAGTGACACCAGGAGTGGCATTAAGAGCAACAGTTTCAACAGCAGTGCGAGCGGCAGCAGTCTAGGCAGCGGCAGGGAGAGTCATGTTTCTAAGGTGACACATAGCCTTCCCAACTCCCCGCCTCCACGATCGTCTCAGTCCCCCTCCTTTCTCCCTTCCTTCCATTCCCTTCGCCCTTCTCTTCCCAGTTCCATCTCTCTCCCTGGCCGTCCCTCTTCCCACTCCTCCTCCTCCTCCTCCTCCTCCTCCTCCTCCTCCTCCTCCTCCTCCCTCTCCATTACCACACTCCCCTCCTCCAAATCCCACCATATCACCTCCTCCCTCTCATATTCCTCACTCCCTCCCGGAGGCCCGTCTGCCACGTCAGCAAGCTCCACGTCTGCAGCGATCCGTGCCACCACTCTCTCGGCGACAGCTGGCGAGTTCATCCCATCACTGCCCGCCACACCAGCATCAGCATCCCTCTCTACAGTCACGCCCGCTATATCTTCTTATGCTACCCCGTGCGCTATTCGTCGATCGCTGTCCCCTGCTCCCCGCATTCCAATCCGCTCCTCCTCCCCTTCTCCTGCTCGCTCTTCCTCTCCCCTTCCCCCCTCCTCTCTCTTCAAATCCCCCTCCGCCTCTGCTTCTTCCTTCACCTCACCTCCCCCCTCTGCTCCTCCTGCTGATGCTGCTTCTCTCACTGCTGCAGCCTCCTGGAAGCTTCCTCAACGTGCCGCATCCCCATCTCGAACCTCTCCATCTCCAACCTACTCTCTCCGAACCTCCCTCGCTGCTTCGGCATCCCTAGCCAGTGCAATATCAGCCCCGGAATTCAAACCCAAGCTCAATGCTCCTGACTTTAAGCCTGCTGGTGCTGCTGTAGCGGCTACAGCTGCTACTGCTGCTACAGCTGCTATATTTACCAATTCCCGTGCGACAGCAAGAATGGTTTCTGCCTCCCGTGTTACAGCCGCTAGGGTTTCCTCTTTCCTTGCTACAGCTGCTAAGGATTCTGATAACCCTGCTACATCTGCTACAATCTCCGATGCACCTGCCACATCTGCTGGAGTTTCTGCTTCCCCTGCTGCTGTCCCTGCCTCCTCCCTCTCCACCTCTGCTGCCACTGCCTCTGCCTTCGTCCCCTCCTCTATCTCTGTTTTTTCTACCACTTCGTCTGCCTTTGCTCCCTTATCTGTCTCTGGGCAAGGTCTAGCCTCGGGGCATGACGTGGGGCATGACGTGGGGCATGAGTTGGGGCATGACGTGGGGCATGACGTGGGGCATGACGTGGGGCATGACGTGGGGCATGACGTGGGGCATGACGTGGGGCATGACGTGGGGCATGATTTAGGGCATGATTTGGGGGAAGGTGTGTTTCTCCCATCGACCCTCGACTCCCCACCACCGATTGCCATCCGCCAGGGGCCTGTAAGGCGGCTGTTTGGGGGTGGTGAGAGCACGGCACGGGATGCAGGGGGCGTGGGAGGTATAGGAGGAATGGGAGCAGGAGGAGTGGGAGCAGGAGGAGTGGGAGGAGGAGGCATGGTTGTGCTGTTTGGGGATGGAGAGGGCATGGCAGGGGATGCAGGGGGTGTGGGTGACTCAAGAATGGTAAATGGCATGGAGATTGGTTCTAACGATGGTGTGGTGTACTATAGGAGCCAGTGGGGAGGGGAGGAGGGAGGAGAGGAGGAAGGGGGGGAGGAGCAAACGGAGAAAACGCAACCAGCCATGTATTACGAGGGGTTGACATCTCACGTGGTCTATGGTGCTGCAGCAGCAGCTAATGCTGAGGCATTTCAAAAGCCAACTGGTGGGATGGTGCGAGCAGGTGAAAATTCTGATCTTAGCAGCACACACAGCAGCACAGCCTTTTCAAGAAATGGGCCACGGGGAAGCACTGGCAGCTATAGCTACAGCAGCAGCAGATATTTCACTAACAGTAGCATCAACATCAACATCAGCAGCAGCAACAGCAGCAACAGCAGCAGCATCAACATCAGCAGCAGCAGCAGCAGCAGCAGCAACAGCAGCAGTGCCAGAGTGAGTATTGCAAGGCATAACCGTAGCCATCATGTTAACATCACTGGTAGCAGCAGAAGCATCAGCAGCAGAAGCATTAGCAACAGCAGCAGCAGCAGTAGCGGCAGCAACCCAGCCTCGTTTATCCTCTCTAAGAGCTCACTCGCCAAAGCAGCTGGAGCAGTCCCGTTTCGCCCCAAGGCTGTCATACCCCCTCGCTTCATCTCCCCTACTGCTCCCACCTTTGTTCCTTCCTCTGCCTCCTCTCTGCCCTCCAACCATCCCTCACTTCCCTCGTCCCATTCCTCCCACTACTCTCTCTCCTCCTCTCACTCCACTCTCTCCTCCTCACACACCACTGTGCCATCCGCCCCTCTCCGTTCCACCTCCCCTGCATTTACACCCTACAAGCTCTCTCTCCATTCCGCTCCTTTCACTCCTTCCTCTGCCTTCATCTCCCCACCGCCTCCCCACACACGCTCATCTGCTGCCCTCCCCGCTGCTCCTTCTGCTACTGCTGTCACTTTTGCCAGTGCTGCTGCTGCTGCTGCTGCTGCCAATGCTTCTCCCGCAGCAAACCGTGCAGTGTTTGCTTCAAGCAGTGCTCCCAACACACCTGCTGCAAAGGCAGGAGCACCGGCAGCACCAGCAGCAGCAGCAACAGCAGCAGCAGCAACACCGGCACCAGCAGCACCACTAGCACCACCAGCCACAGCAGCAGCAGCAGCAATGGTCTCCTCAATCTCAAAGCAGGACGGGACTAGTCCAGCTGGCACATCGTTGAGAGCAGGGGCAGAGGAATGGCAGGGATCACAGAGTGTAGCAGCAGAGGTTTCTGGTGGGATGGAGGAGTGGCAGGGGCAGCAGAGCGCAGGGCTGAGAGTATCTGGTGAGCCAGCAGCAGGCAGCTCGTTGGCAGCAAGGGAGTCTAATTTTGAGGCTCCTCGAAATTCGTCTCACTGGCAGGGGCAGCAAAGAGCAGGGCTGGGAGTGTCAGGTGTGACAGCTGGAGCAGGAATGGGCAGCAGCAGTGGGTACGGACGTGGGGGGTATGGAAGCGGAACAGACGTGATGTCAGCTGGCATGGCAGCAGGCACGGCAGCAGGTATGGCAGCAGGCATGGCAGCAGGTACGGCAGCAGGTATGGTGGCTGGCATGGCAGCATACGAGCCTAACGGGACAACAGGCTCGGAAGTAGCCATGGCAGGTAGCAGCGGGATGCAGGGCATGGGTGGTCATGCAGGGACGGCATGGCCTCATGGCACATGGCATGGCATGGTGACCTCTCCTCCTCCTGCTGTATGGCACGGCATGGTTGGGTCCCCTCCTACCCCACAGTCAGCTTACACAGTACACTCAGCACACTCAGCACACTCAGTGCAGACAGGGCTGCCAGTTGCTCTTCCACCTTGGCAGATGGGAGTTGCACCTGTCACTGCTACTGCTGCTGCTGCTCTTCCTTCTGTTGCCGCTGCTGCTGCTCCCACTGCTGTTGCTACTGCCTCTGCTTCTGTCAATTACACCGGAGCTACATTTGGAGCCCATGCCGTGCCTGAGATGTGGTCCGGTGTTCGTTCCCAACCCGGAAGTATTGCTGGTCCGGAAGTCTGGTCCGGGACTGTTGTGCTTGGTCCAGAAACTGCAGCCGCAGCTGGCTGGGGTTCCCCGGACGGGTATGCAGGTTCGGCTGCCCCTTGGGCAGGTATGGGAGGGCATGCTGGTTCGGGTATGTGGTCCGGTGTGAGTGATGGTATGGCAGGTGGTACTGCAGTTGTAGCGGGGGTAGCGGGAGGGGTGTGGGCAGGTATGGGTGAAACGGGTGTGCATGGTATGGCTGTTGGGATGGTGCCAGGTGGGATGATGATGCGTGGGTATGGTATGCATGTGCATGGTGTTGGGGAGGGGGATGGGGGTTTTGATGTGAGTACTGGTGGGGGGGGTGGAGTTGCTCCTTTGCATTGTCCTGTATGTCATGGTTATCTTGCCACGTCTGCTGCTGACTTAGCAGCTCACTTGGATCACTGTGCTCGTTACAATCATTAGGTCAATCACCTTGTGATGCCTGACAGGAGGTACTTCCGGTACATGTGCATAATACTTTCTTTTGACTTTATTTTTTCACGTCTCCCTGAGACTTGATACCGCATCCATATCCCAGAGATTCCCTGATGTATTTGTTTTATAAAAGGGCACATCCTACAGATTCTGTATATCAACAACTTATGGTGTCACTAACAAAATAATTCTTTGTGAATAATCTCACAGCCTTATCGCAACGCGCACCGCTGCAGTTTCGAGTACAGACCTTGGTTGTCTGGTTTTCGTTGACCCACCTCGCATCCCGTCAAGGAATTTCAACGCCTTGTCAGTATGTCTTCCATACCAGGCCTAGGTAGCTAGTTACCCGGCTCGTCACATACCCGAGCTGCAAAGCTCTGGCTACCAAGCCCAAACCAAACCGGACACGCCACACCAAACCACGACAATGCAACCAGACCAGACTGTTGGAATGAACTGCTGCTGCTGCTCGCATGGCACCAGGCAGGGCTGACTTTTCAAATTTAGGTACCCTGATTTCAACCTAAAAAAAAAAAAAAATTACCCTGAAGGCACATTTTCCAGAAAAACAGCACCCTGATTGCTCAGGGTTGAGAAGTAGTGAACTCTGAATGTTCAGGGTCGAGAATTGAAAATCAGGGTCGTAGTAACGCGCTCTTTCTTTACCGAGGACAGAAGTCTCATTCTTTACCCTAATCGCAACATGTGCTCGAAATCTGACAGTCTATTTCGACCAATAACAGCAACCTAAAATCTGACATTACAGATTCGCCCGATCTAGATGGTGGGTGTATGGGAACGAAACTTCGAAGAAACTTCGTCTCGATAAAGCGAAGGGGGGGGGGGGGGGATTACGCACGTGGGGGGCACTGAAATCAATGCGAAGGGGTTATCAGGAGGAAATTTCCGAGAAACTTCGCCCCGATAACATCGCATTCAGGGTCCACAGGCCTCGTACTCTGTATTGACAGGGTCAGTGAAAACCCTACACTGAGAGTGTACACAAAATTTCAGGGTCTGCTAAAGCAATACTCTGAATGGATCAGGGACCAAAATGTGAATAACCTGATTTCTCAGGGTCCAGAAAGTGACAAGTCTGAAATCACCCTGAAATCAGGGTAATTACCCTGATAAAATCAGCCCTGGCACCAGGGTGGCGGGAAAAAAATCACGTGGCGAAAATTTTCGCCACAGTTTCCCCGTCAGCCAAAATTCGAATCTGCAAAGGGCATCTCCCAACATTACCCATTCGCCACTTCATCATCCTTATCTCCAGTCAGCAAGGCACACTTCCATTTTCACCCAATACAAATTCTTCAATCCTCCACCTCATATCTTCTCCAATCCTCCTCAATCTTCTCCTCCACCAATCAATCCAAAGATTCCCTACCAAGCCTTAAATCAAAGCCCCATTCATTCCAATCACCAAGCCTTAATTTCAAGGCCTCATTCATTCCACTCACCAAGCCTTAAATTCAAGGCCACATTCATCACCCCCACCTTATCCAACTTAACCAATCACAAACATTCATCTCCTCCTCTTCTTCATCCAACCTCAAGCTCCACCAAATACAAAACAAAAGGTCCACCCCATTCTTCACACATACTTTTCAAGCAAGTTTTTACCTAAGCTCTGCACAAGTTCTACTCCAAGCTCTCACAAGGCCACTTCAAAGTCCTCCTCCTCATGCCCAACTCCTAAGGCTTCACTCACCACCAACCTCTCCCAATCCAAGCTCATAGCCATGTTCTCCAACTCTAGAGAAGTTTATGCTTCATAGTCTTTCTACTAGATTGTTATCAATGGTTGCTCTTTAAGTCCATCATGTACCTCCTTTGGACTAGTGCATTTTAAGTTTTGAGGCCTCAACATCAACATTTGACTTTCTTCTAATCAAGACTCAAGCTTCACCTTCAACACTCAAGCTTGGAGGTGCTTCTCTACTCAACAATCAAGCTTGGATCTCACTCTCCTTCCAACAATCAAGATTCACAATTCAAGCTTGGCTTCTTCAAGTTACAAAGCTCCTTCAAAATGACAAGTAAGACTCTTTAAGGTAAGTCACCTCCTCATTTCACTCTTGTCAAGTTTCTCAATTAAATCTTCCCTATTCAAAGCCTCTTCATTCTTATCAAGTCTCCTTTCTTCTCAAATCTTAGTTTCCATTATCAAGTTTGTTTATTTTTTCAAGCTCTTTTACCTTCTCATCAATCACCCATTCAATATCTTTCTTTCAATCAATTGTTCTCTCCCTTTAATGTTTTCATCATCTTCCTTTCAAGTTTGTTATTTTTATCCTTAACCTTATTAGCCTTTACGTTCTTACTCAATCTCTTCTTCATAGGTTTCTTTATCTTATCAATTTTGTCTTACGTCACTCTTAACTCTTTCTTCTAGGAGTTTTCTTTCTCTCTACTTGCTATTTACCCTTCCTAATCCTTTACTTCACTTTTCAAGACAGACGTCATACCACACGAGTCGCGAAACTTTTTCCACTACTTGTTGACCAGTCATCTCGCGGCTCGAGAATCTGACTCTCGCCAGTCAACCATTTCCCCGACTCGAGGAATGTGAGATGGCTGCTGCACATAAATTGCTCCCAATGTTCAATCTCTACCCAACTCACATATTTCCTCATTCTGCTATCCCTTATCCTGTCCATCCAACCTGTTCATTCTCGTCTCTTAGTAGAAACCGAGTTACTTCCCGATTCTGAAAACCATGGCAGTCAGGAGCATTTTTTTCGTCTGCATTGCGCTCCTCATTGCGACCTCCGCGGATGCGCAGCGTGGTCCGCCCGGCGGAGGCCCTCCCAGAGGCCAGCAGCCCGGGGGGGCGCGCGGAGGACCTGGCGGGCCTGGCGGGCCTGCTGGCCCGCGCGGCCCTCCACTGAATTTGACGGTCGTCGGCAATCTGACGGGGGAAGTTGGTGCGCGATTGGCTAACTGCTCCGCGGACCCGACGTTTCTCGACGGCCGCTTTCACCTCGCCATCTTCAAGTAAGCTTCGGGGATCTATACCAGCGAAACCCTAAATTTCGCTGGGCTCTTATTGTCGCTGCGCGTCCTCTCCGTCATTCTACCCAGGGCGTCCCACATGCTGTGCCGCATGATTCTCTTGACCCACCGGGTGTTACCATCGTTTCACTCACTCCCTCGCCCCGCTTCCCCCCATTCCCTCCCCCAGGAACGCGAGCGGCAGTTACAACCTGGCGGTCGACGCGCTCCTCGTGGGCGCCACGGGCGGGCCGCCCGACTCCCTCGCGATCGTGAAGGGCGCAGTCTGCGACTCCTCCGCCTCCGCCGCCGCGATCCTCGCGATTCCGGTGGCGGCGTCCGACTGGCAGCAGCGCGACGGCTGGTGGCTGCTGCACGCGGAGGCTCGGCTCGACGCGTTCCTCGAGAACGCGGACGCCGCCACCGTCGACGCGCTCCTCGTGCTTCTCCCCAACGCGACGCTGCCAGCGGCGCGCGGCGGCGGCCGCGGCAACGGCAGCGGAGGCGGAAGCGGCGCGGGTGGCGCGCGCAGCGGACAGGGCAGCAGGCGCATGGGGAGGGAGCTGCTGATGCGCGCAGCGGAGCGCGTCACTGGCGCGAAGCAGGGGGGGCAGCAGCTGGGGACGCCGCAGCCGCCTGCAGGTGGTTCCTCAGGTGGTTACCCAGGCGCTGGGGGTGCGGGGGGGATGATGGCGGGTGGCGGGATGAACGCGACTGTGAGTGGGTATGCCGTGTTGGCCACTGCCACTGCGGGGGATGTGGCGTGGGGCGGCCAGCTCATGGGCGTTAAACTGCCCTCCGCCGCTGCCTGATGTGATGGCGCTGCTGCTGCTGGTTCTGCACTGCTATTCTGGTTCTTGCTGGGTACAGTGTAGCTGGGGGGCTGTGGGAAGAGTAGTGTCGTGTGGCTCGCAACTTACCATCTGGTGTTTGGGGATTTTTGGGGTAGAAGTTCTAAAGTACCTTAGTATGGAGTGAGCATCAGGGCAGGAATGTTGGCAAATCACCATGCTTCTCTTCACGAGCAGACTTGCCAATCTTCCTGCCCTTAGCTTGTAATTTCGTGTTCTTTGTCTTTTAAGTTGAGTTACAGGGTATGAAGTTGTGTTTCTGCAGTGTACTTCATTTCTGCTCTTGACAGTGTAATAATGCGGAGACAATCAGGCAGGAGTTGCAAAGCGAAATTCATCGCTTGTTCTTCGGTTGATGGGGACGAGGTTACCTCGTGACCATTTGGTAATTTTTGGAATATACATTGCACTGCCTGTGTCAGCAGGCAGTGCAATAGAGTCAGCAAGCTGCCTTCTGCCCGCGGTCAGCATGCTGACTCACTCGGTAGCGTCTTCTAGCGAAATAGTAGCGCTCTCGAGCACTACCGACGCTACAGAGTGCAATATATTGTTATTATCCTTTCGCTTATCGTGTCCGCACCGCACATACAAAAGTGCCTTACATCGGACTAGTCGCGATATATTTCGAGTAAGCCACTTTCGCTCCCTTTCATTCAGGGTTACCACCTGATATGCAGTTCCAAAATATCGGGTAGCCCATGTGTTTTGCATGGTCAAATTGAGGTAACGTACTCGCGGTCAATAAAATGAGTGGTTCGTCATGGGCCCGTGAACTGTGGGCCATTCGGTTGCCCGTGACCGTGGAACTCTGCTCCTATCGATTGCTCCTATCGATTGCTTCTGGCTGGGTCTAATGGGTGGTCGAGTGTGCATCAAGAACTGAGTGCGTGTCATGCATTTGCACATAATTTATCGTTTCGCCGGACGAATCTGGCAAGCCCTTGTCGCGTCGCGACCACTCCTGAAGCAACGGCTGTGTGCTTCTAAGCGGCCCTAGTCCCTTAGCCTGAAGCTTCACGGCGTGATTCACTACGTTCTACCCTGTCATTACTCTCACTCGCTGCTCGCGTTCTACTCACCTTATTTAATACAGACAGGTGCACTTCCTTGCAGTTTCCCCTCGCGAAATGCCGTCGCTTACATCCTACGTCGTAATTTTTCTCTTGCGCGATTCGATCGTCGTATTTGACGGTTGACATCCCGTCGTCGCGATTCGGCGAGTGCAGACACGCGCAGTTCGTGCTTAGCGCTTTATCGGCTGGAGAAGGATCGTTTTCGAACCGCTTGATCGCTCACTCACGTAGCCGCCAAGGTACCTACATTCGCTAGACTACGCTGCACAACAATCCTGAAGACCTTGGTTTCGCAAGTTATTGGCGACTGTTAGCGAAAGAAGCTCGCGAGCTCTACATCAGGATACCGCACTGCGGTAATTCGTGGCACGCGATTCGTGCTACTTCCGTCGACTTTCTACCTTTGGCTTGAAATCCGAACAGGACCTTCAGTCTGCCCGTTACAGCGTTTGTACAACGGGAATTGGCGATTTGATTTGATTCGATTCGATTCGTTAATAAAACTGCACTGATTGAGCTACATTACGCCATGGTCCAGATGCTTCCAGGAACCTGTATTCTGACATCTACTCCCTGTTCAGCCACTCACGCCTCGCCACGTGTCGCTTCCGCTGAGAAGGCAATTTCAAATAGAATTCTTCCCTGTTCCGCCGTCTCCGCTCGACCAATCAGAATCAGCCTGAGTTCTCTCGCCGTCACACCCAGCAGCAGCCGTCTACTTGAACGCTCTGCCGGCAAGGATAGCAGATTCCGACGGTCGTTTCTCGGGGACGCGGGAGGGCTTCGCTGCAAAGACACCTCCGCCAATGGCCCGTCCGTCAGGCGTCCGTCAGTCAGCGCCACGTCAGCAGACAGGAATAACAGTGCGTCAGTCAGCGCCACGTCAGCTGGCAGGACTAGCCACGTCATCGCTGCTGCAGGAGCGGCTGCAGCGGTGGTGGCGGGGGGGATCGCGGCTGCGCCAGCAGCAGCAGGAACGGCAGGGGTAGGAGCAGCAGCAGCAGGAGCGGCATCATCATCATCATCATCATCAGCAGTGGGAGCGGTACTCGCCGCGTGTGGCGTGAACACGCCTGTCCTGCGCGCATCCCTGGGAGCCTCGTTCAAACTGTTCGCCATGTGCGGTGAGTCGCCGCAAAACGTTGCCTCATGCTGATCCCTTTATGGCAGTTCTCGTCGCAATTCCGATCGTGTTCCCCCTCTCCATGTTCCCCCCGCAGCGTTCATCGTGTGGCTAATGAAGGCCAACACCCTTCCCGAACGCACCACTGTAGCACATCCTCTAATGATCGCTCCCACCCCACCTCCCTACTCCCTCCTTCCCCCGTGTCCCCCAACCCCTCTCCATGCTGCCTACAGCCTTCATTGTGTGGCTAATGAAGGCCACCGTCCTTCCTGAAGCCACGCCTTCGGTTCTCAGCCAGGTGGGGTTCAGGTCAGGTGTGTATCGTCAAGTGGGGTTTAGGTGTACCTTCAGATATGGTTCAGGTGTATCGTCAGGTGGGATTCAGGTGTGCCAGGTGGGGTGTAGGTGTATCGTCAGGTGGGGTTCAGGTGTACCTTCAGGTTTGGTTCAGGTGTATCATCAAGTGGGGTTCAGGTGTTGCGGGGCGGGGCTCAGTGTATTCAGTGTGCCATCAAGATGTGGTTAATGTTTTTAATCAGGTGCGGCTCAGGTGTCTATGCAGGTAGAATGTAGTGCTGATCTGGCTCGGTGCTTTCAGGTGAACCGCATGGTGTGTCCTGGTACACGAATCACTGTAGCTGTCCTGATACGTGCTCCCACAGGTGGTTTCTCAGGTGCATTTCCAGGTGCTTTTTCCGGAGCTGTATGGTCTTACCTCATGACCTCTCTCCGCCTACCCTTTTGTGCACGGCTCACCCTTTCCTCAAGCCACCCTCCCACCCCTCCCTCTCACTCTGCTGCCCTTCCATTTCACGCCACCACCCCCGGCCTTTTAAGCGCTCATCCCTTGCATCCCCACAACCAAGGTCGACTTTTGAGGCGCCTTAAAAGTTAAGTCATCCATGTAGAATCTTGAGAGAAGAGGAGAGAGTAGTGGCGACCTACTCTCATGACCAAAGTCGCCTCTACTCTCATGACCAAAGTCGCCTCTACTCTCATGACCAAATTCGCCTCTACTCTCTCCGTGCAGGCTTTTGAGACGCCTCAAAAGCTCATCTCATCATCTCACCCATGTCGTCAACCCCTCTTGAGTCGCCTCAAAAGTTGTCTCATAACCCGCAATGGTCGACTTTTGAGACACCTCAAAAGCTCATCTCATCAATCACCCATGTCATGTCGTCACCCCCTCTCCACCCCTCCAGGTGGCCTTTCAACCGCTCATCCCCTGCTTCCCTTCTAAACCCCCTGTCTATTCCGCAGGTGGCTTTCCAAGCGCTCATCCCCTGCTTCATGATGACCAAAGTCGCCTCTACTCTCTCCGTGCAGCCTCTCTCATCGCTCGCTTTCCTGCCTCTCCTCGCGGTCTTTCAGGTGCGTTGCACTCCTTCCCACTCCTATCCACTCCTCTTTACTCCTCTCCTCTCCTCTCCACTCTACTCCATTCCTCTCCATTTTACCCCATCTCAAGCTCCTATCCCAGACCAGCCCACTCCGCCCCACTCCACCCCACTCCACCTCACTCCAATCCACGATATTCTAATCTCAAGCTCTTCCCCCGTCCACCTACCCATCCCATTACGTGGTTTGAGGACCCGAAACCCAGGGTATGATGTGTGTGCTCTACCTTCGAAGCATCATTCCCATTCCCATCCGTGGGTCCTCTCCCATCCCTCTCACCCCTCCCTCCTGTGCTCCCTCCCAGATCCTCTGTGGAGCAACATAGGCAAGCTAGCCTGCTCTCACGCATGCCACCGTACCTCCCCCCTCCCCTCTGGAACTTCTGCAATTTCCTATGCCTTTCGGTATGCCTTTCCGTATGCTTTTCTCTATGGATTGGTATGGCTTTGTGTGGCTGTTAGTATGGCTTTGTGTGGCTGTTAGTATGGCTTTGTGTGGCTGTTAGTATGGCTTTGTGTGGCTGTTAGTATGGCTTTGTGTGGCTGTTACTAATAGTATGGCTTTGTGTGGCTGTTAGTATGGCTTTGTGTGGCTGTTAGTATGGCTTTGTGTGGCTGTTAGTATGGCTTTGTGTGGCTTTTAGTATGGCTTTGTGTGGCTGTTAGTATGGCTTTGTGTGGCTTTTAGTATGGCTTTGTGTGGCTGTTAGTATGGCTTTGTGTGGCTGTTAGTATGGCTTTGTGTGGCTGTTAGTATGGCTTTGTGTGGCTGTTAGTATGGCTTTGTGTGGCTGTTAGTATGGCTTTGTGTGGCTGTTAGTATGGCTTTGTGTGGCTGTTAGTATGGCTTTGTGTGGCTTTTAGTATGGCTTTGTATGGCTGTTAGTATGGCTTTGTGTGGCTTTTAGTATGGCTTGCTGTGTGGCTGTTAGTATGGCTTTGTGTGGCTTTTAGTATGGCTTTGTATGGCTGTTAGTATGGCTTTGTGTGGCTGTTAGTATGGCTTTGTGTGGCTTTTAGTATGGCTTTGTGTGGCTGTTAGTATGGCTTTGTGTGGCTTTTAGTATGGCTTTGTGTGGCTGTTAGTATGGCTTTGTGTGGCTGTTAGTATGGCTTTGTGTGGCTGTTAGTATGGCTTTGTGTGGCTGTTAGTATGGCTTTGTGTGGCTGTTAGTATGGCTTTGTGTGGCTGTTAGTATGGCTTTGTGTGGCTTTTAGTATGGCTTTGTATGGCTGTTAGTATGGCTTTGTGTGGCTTTTAGTATGGCTTGCTGTGTGGCTGTTAGTATGGCTTTGTGTGGCTTTTAGTATGGCTTTGCGTGGCTGTTAGTATGGCTTTGTGTGGCTTTTAGTATGGCTTTGTGTGGCTGTTAGTATGGCTTTGTGTGGCTGTTAGTATGGCTTTGTGTGGCTTTCCATATGGCTCCCCGTATGGCTTTTGTCTCTCTCCATCTCCTTTCTCCCCTCTTCCTTTCCCACTTTCGTTTCCTCTGTCGTCCCAGGTCCCCTGTGCAACAGCTCTTGGCAAGCTAGCTTACACCCTCGCCTACCACCACCGTCCATCTTTCCACTCTCGCTCACTTCTGCACTGCTTTCCTTCTCCTTGAAAACCCATTCCACCCCCCACCCCCTCCACCCACCCACCCATTCCCCCTTCTTCCCCAGATCCTGCGTGGAATCGTGCTAGGCAAGAATTGAGACGTCTCAAAAGTACTTATGAGAACTTTGAGACGTCTCAAAACCCTTCTTCCCCAGATCCTGCGTGGAATCGTGCTAGGCAAGCTAGCCTGCACCATCGCCTACCGCCATCCCTCCTCGCTCTCCTCGCTCCCCTCTGCACTGGTTTTGTTCTCCATTTCTCCTTAAAACTCCTTCCAACCCATCCCCTTCCCCTTCCCCAGATCCTGTGTGGAATAGCGCTAGGCAAGCTGGCCTGCACCATAGCCTACCGCCGTCCCTCCTCGCTCTCCTTGCTCCCCTCCCCTCCTTCCGCCCGCCACATCGCCTTCTCCGTCGCCCACAGCCTCGGCCTCTCCCCCTCTGCTGCCGCCCTCCTCTCAGGCCTCCCCCTTCCGAATCGGGACGGGGGAGATGAGGGGACGGCAGGCGGCGAGAAGGTGGTGCCTGGGCGGGGAGTTTTGTCTGCACCTGGGATGGTCGGGGCGGCGGAGCGGGCGGCGGGGAGGAAGGAGTCGGTGGTGATGGCGGCATGTGCGTTTGGGAACTCGCTCACTCTGCCTCTTGTGTTTCTGGCAACGCTGCTGACTCGCGCTGATGCTGACAGGGCTGCTGGGTACTTGGCACTCTTCATGGTTGGGTGAGTAAACCTTTACGACTTGCTGTGTTGGGTATATTAGGACGCGGTAAAAGTTTTGAGACGTCTCAAAACTATATTAGGGCGCGGTAAAAGTAGACGATCAATCGTCTGTCGCAATTGGTGTGCGGATTGGTTACCCGGTTTACTAGCTTGTAACCATGGTACAGTAAGGTTTTTGTCAATATTTTGTGCACACTGAGGGAATGCGACTGATCATTCATCGCGGGAGATCCGTCTACGGCATCAAAGCGCCGCTGATGTCCACGAACCGAGCTTACTAGGCACGATTGATCCGGATGCCTGCGACTTGCTGGGATTTCGCAGAGCGGGGAATTGGAGTCGCCCAAATTGCTTGCATTTCGCGGAATTTCACTAGTGACTCGAGTGCGAGTGATGCCCATCAAACATCACTTCGCCATGCCAGTTGCCCTGTGGGCTGCGAATGTCGCAGGTGTGTTTGGACGACGCATGCTTTTCTGTGTCGGTGTCGCCTAAACCCTCCAAAATCTCGCTTCTGGAACATCCAAATGAAAACTCAGGGGCGATTGTTACAACGACGTCGGCGCATCGTTTCGCTTATCGATCCACACAATCGATTGCGCGGATCGATTTACAAGCACGATCCTGCGATATTCGCACTTTTACCGCGTCTTTAACACTCTACTCAACTCAAGTCAACAGGGCTAATGGGTACCCGGCGCTCTTCGTCCTAAACCATGGACGAGTGCTATGGGAGTTTGAGCATGTGTTGGAGAACTTGTACATAGAGCAAAAGACTTGAGCGAAATCTCATTTCCAATTCGCTAAGTTGGAGTTGGAATGTGATTTTATTTTATTTTATTTTTTTGCTCTAGTCCCCTCCGTAGACCCTTTGAAAAGTTCCTCTCAACCATAGCTCCATGATAGAGGAGTTCCTAGGCTTTGAGCCTATGTGGCCTTCGATCTTCTTCAAAAAAATCAACTTAGAACCATTCTCTGTCTCTTTTGTCGTTTGAGTAGACGGTGTTTACATCTTGAAATTTCCTATTGGTTGGAAATCCACATCCATTATTTTACTGGTTTATAGGTTGGATTTTTTCAAGCCTCAAGGGTGAGGGTCGAAAAATCTGAACCACCAATCCCAGCTCTAACAACCCAAATTCCCGTACTTCAAACATCCGTCGAGTTTCTTCTCAGCGACTGACTTAGGACAATTAGGAAATCAGGTATGAATGCGTTACACTCCTCCCCCCCCCATTTGGCATCGTCCCCGTTGCCCTAGGGTTCTTCGAGCACGCCGTGTCACATAACGACGGGGCTCAACATCATGTCATCATCCACTGGCTGTGAGGCAGCTCGTCGGGCCAGGTCACTGGTGATGACTGACTTGAAGTTTCAGTCAAATGTTGCTCTGGCTCCCATGAGTTGCGTTCAGACCCATAGCATTTTCGCTTAATAAAGAACTCACGTGTGGAGAAATACACTCGTCTCATTTATACGTATAAAAGCCTATCAACTCATGCGATATATGCAATATATGTATCGCCCACGCGCTATTGCTTCCCCTCCTTCAATCTTTCTCCCTTCCCCTCACCAGCATGATCACAAATCTGAGACCCCGTTGAGATTTGTCAAAAGTTTCTTCCCCTCTTTCTCCATTGCCTGCCCTCCGTCCCCTCTCTCCGTTCCCTCAACTCAACCCCGTCCAGCGGATCGACTGCCTTCTGGACCCTGGGTTACAGCATGATCTCAAATCTGAGTCGCTCCAAAACGTTCTCAATGTTTTCTTCCTGTCTTTCTCTCCGTTCCATCAACCCCATCCAGCGGATCGACTGCCTTTTGGACTCTGGGTTACAGCATGTTCAGACGGGGGGGTTACAGGGACATGCTGCCCTCTTTGCATCATCCCTTGTGTCCCCTCTCTCTCCCCCACCCTCCCTCCCCTCAACCCTTGCAGTGGATCGACCGCCTTCTGGACCCTGGGTTACAGCATGTTCAGAGGGGGGAGCAACAGGCAGGAAGAGGGTGACGAGGACGGGGCAGAGGGGAGTGCAGCAGCAGCAACAGCGGTGGGAGTGACGGGGTTTGAGAGTGCTGCCAGTCGTGTGATGGAGATGGCCAAGAAAGTGCTCAACCCGCCTATTTATGGGGTGAGTTTCTAATTTTGGAATTGGTGGGAGTGATGCGGTTTCACCGTGCTGTCAGTTTTGTGATGGAGTTGCGACGCGGCGATTAGTGAATTGTGGAGAAACGAGGAGAAACGAGGAGAAACGAGGAGAAACGAGGAGAAACGAGGAGAAATGAGGAGAAACGAGGAGAAACGAGGAGAAACGAGGAGAAACGAGGAGAAACGAGGAGAAACGAGGAGAAACGAGGAGAGGACAACCCAGATGAGGAGGACACATCCACATCCCAGAATGGACAGGATCGCAGAAGGCGACCACATGAATAGCCATGTGAAATGAGAGTGTTTTTGAGACGTGGCAAAACCCAAAAACACTCTCAATTCAGATGAGGAGGGAGCCACATTCCAGAATCGACAGGGTCGCAGAAGACGACTACATGAATGGCAGCGATGGTAGATCAAGACACGGAGACGTGATGACGAGCCATACGACTGAGCAGCGAGCAGTAGAAGCGCCGTAGCACGCGCCTTTTGAGGCGCCTCAAAAGCAGTAGAAGCGCCGTAGCACGCGCCTTTTGAGGCGCCTCAAAAGCAGTAGAAGCGCGGTAGCCCGCGCCTTTTGAGGCGCCTCAAAAGCAGTAGAAGCGCGGTAGCCCGCGCCTTTTGAGGCGCCTCAAAAGCAGTAGAAGCGCCGTAGCCCGCGCCTTTTGAGGCGCCTCAAAAGCAGTAGAAGCGCCGTAGCCCGCGCCTTTTGAGGCGCCTCAAAAGCAGTAGAAGCGCCGTAGCCCGCGCCTTTTGAGACGTCTCAAAGGTCGAGCAGCTGGCAATAGAAGCACCATAGCACGCGCCACGGCAGTTAAGTATGTTCTGATAGAGGTGCTGATAGTCACTTCGTGCAAGGCACAATCTCAAATCGTAAAAATGCAAGAATCATCTGTGGTGGAGGTGAGGGGTATCGATCCCCTTACCTATCGCATGCGAAGCGATCGCTCTACCATGTGAGCTACACCCCCTTGTTCAAGTTGTTCTTGGTCCAATACCATTCTCATCTGTGGGCGTCAGGCGAATGGACTGGGTTCCTATTGAATAGATGGTTTCCCAATTATTGGGTAGGTTCCTATTTGTGGGGTGAGTTTCTATTTATGGGGTGGTTTCCTATCTATTGGGTGGGGGTGGGTTCCTTCAGGTTGGGTTCCCATTTATGGGGTAGATTCCCATTTATGGAGTGGATTCGTAAAGCAAGTTCCAATCTTGGGGTGGTTTCCCTTTTACATTCCATGGATCTTGCTCAAATGCATGCCCCTCCTATCGGTCCAATAATCCAATTTCTCCAATCAGGCGCGCTCATCTGATGCACTTGATTTCGCCTCCCACTCTCCCCATCCCCCTCATTCCCCCATCAGCCGCTAGCAGTTCTATTAAAAGGAATAGGAGCCACCCCTCCCGCCCATTCCTTCCCCCCATCTCCTTACAGCCTCATCCCCTAGTCCCCCCACCCCCCGACTCCCCCCACTCCCAATCCTCCTCGTCCCCCCATCAGGTGCTAGCAGGTCTGCTAATAGGAGCCACGCCACTCGGTCACTTCTTCCTCCCCGCCTCCTCCTCCACTGATGCTGTTGCTGCCTCCTCCCTCCCAGCCGCTGCCTCAGCGTGGCTCTTCAGCCCTGCCACTGCCGGCATTCTACACGGCCTCATGGAGGTGAGGGGGAGGGGCGAGGCAAGGTGAGGCGAGGGGAGGTGAGGCGAGGCATGTGGCATGGAGGTGAGTGGGCTGGGCGTGGCTCTTCAGCCCTGCCACTGCCGGCATTCTACACGGCCTCATGGAGGTGAGGGGGGCAGGCAAGGCAAGCCATGCGGCATGGAAGGTGAAGGTACACCCTGGCTCCTGCAAACCTGAACCCCCCCAAGCCGTTGCCTCCTCGTAGCTCTTCATCCCTGCCTCTGCCGGCATCCTGCACGGCATCATGGAGGTGAGTGATGAGAGGATGCGAGGCATGCGGCATGGAGGTGAGCAAATCCTCGGACATAGTACCAGTGAGTTGCGATGCCGGCAGTAGCAGGCCCTGTGGCTCTGCCCTTCAGCCCTGCCACTGCCGGCATTCTGCACGGCATCATTAGGTGAGCTCTGAAACGTCGCAAAAGGTCATGGAGGTGAGGGGGGTAGGCAACGCAAGGCATGTGACATAGAGGCGAGGCTGAGGTGAGGGGGGTAGGCAACGCAAGGCATGAGACATAGAGGCGAGGCTGAGGCGAGGGGGGTAGGCAACGCAAGGCATGTGACATAGAGGCGAGGCTGAGGCGAGGTTGAGGCGAGGTTGAGGCGAGGTTGAGGCGAGGCTGAGGCGAGGCTGAGGCGAGGCTGAGGCGAGGCTGAGGCGAGGCTGAGGTGAGGTTGAGCTTGAGGTGACTCGAAAGTCGGCTTGGAGGTGGGCTTTAAGACATCTTTCTTGGATCAGCCTGTGTGGCCGTGCAAGCAAGCAGCACTGCTCGCCTCCTCTTCCCTCGCCTCCTCCTTCCTCGCCTCCTCTGTCTCTCCTCCTCTATGTCAACCGTCACTTCCCTCCCCTTCCCTTGTCCCCCTTCCTCTCATTCCCAGGCAGCAGCCATTCTCGGGTCAGCCTGTGTGGCCATGCAAGCTCGGCTCCTCTGTCTCAACTCCCCTGTCCTAACCTTTCCTTCCATTCCCTTCCCTTGTCCGCCTTCCTCTCATTTCCAGGCAGCAGCCATTCTCGGGTCAGCCTGTGTGGCCGTGCAAACAGTAGTGCTCGCCTCTTCGCTCGCCTCCTCCATCCCCTCCCGCATCTCCCTCTCCTGGCTCAAACCCTCCTCCTCCTCCCCTCTGCCAGCCGGTTCCAGCCCGAACATGAAAGTAATAAGGGTGGAGCCACTCCCCTCTGCTGCTGTCGCTGCACCTGGTGCCAGCGCTGCTGCTGATTCTGCTGCCGCTGCTGGGATTGGAGTAGGTGCGGGTGGCAGTGGTGGGGATGACAGCACTGCTAGTGAAGCAGCAGCTGGCAGCCTTTCTGCTTCTTCTGCTTCTGCTGCTGCTTCTCCCTCCTCCGCTGCTGCCCTGCCCTCCTTGCAAGATGATAGGGCGCTCTGGGTGGTGTGTGCTGTGCGCCTGTTGCTGCTGCCCATGCTTGGGACTGTCACAGTCACGGTGAGGCATGGTGGTCTCTTCTGCCCTCACTTCTTCCTCCCTCTCTCTTCCTCCCCCTCTGCTCCGCTCCGTCCCTTTCCACACTCTCTTCTTCCTGCTCACTTCCACCCCTCTCCTTTAATATCTCCTCTTTCTGCCCTCCGCTCTCCGCGGTCCCATCATCCACCATCCCTTGCCCCACAGGCACTCTACAACGCCAAGTTAATTCCACAAGACCTCATCTGTGACTTTTAAGTCGATTCAAACGTCACCCCCTACTCGCTCTCCCCTTTCCACCATCCCTTGCTCGCTACAGGCACTCTACAACGCCAAGTTGATTCCGCAAGACCCCATCTGTGCACTCACCCTTCTGGTCAGTGTTGCCCTCTCTCCCGCACCCCCTCGTGACTTTTAACTGCAAATTAGGGACACATAGTGCCATAGTGATCCCACAAGACCCCATCTGTGCCCTCACCCTCATGGTCAGTGTCTCATTGTTTGTGTTGGTCTCCCTCCCTCACCCCCTTCGTGATTTGTAAGTCCACTCAAATGTAACCTAAGCACTCTACAATGCCAAGTTGATTCCACAAGACCCCATCTGTGCTCTTGCCCTCATGTTCAGTATTGCTCTCCTTCTCCCCTTCCCTCACGGATTTAGAGTCCACTCAAATGTAACCTAAGCGCTGTACAGTGCAGTGCCGTAATCAGTGCTACCCTCCCAGAAAACCCCATCTGAGCGCTCACCCTCATGGTCAGTGCTACCCTCCCACTACCCGTTTGGCCGTCTCGCCTCATATTGCTCGCATCCTCTCTCCTCCTTTTTCCTCCGTTCCTCTCTCATCCTCACTCCCCCTATCCCCATCAGATTCAAACCGCCATGCCATCGGCTCAGAATCTCGTGCTCATGTCTTCTCTTCCTCTCTCCTTTAACTTTACGCCCTCCTCGCCCCCCTCCCCTCCCCTGCCCGCTCTCCCCTCTCCCCGCAGGTCCGCCATGCCATCAGCACAGAATTTCATTCTCTTGGTGTAGTGAGTCGAGTTTTGAGTCGACTCAAAACTCGATCCGCCATGCCATCAGCACAGAATCTCATTCTCTTGGCGCAACTCAGCCTGGCTACTTGGACGTTATTCACAAGTCACCTCTCACCCTCCTATCTCCTCCAAAAATTGCTGCCTCCTCTCTCCTCGCCCCTCTCCCCACAGATCCAGACCGCCATGCCATCGGCTCAGAATCATGTGCTCATGGCGCAGCTCTACCCTAAACCTTGAACCCTCATCTCTCCAGTACACCTGAACCCTCCTCTCCCTCTCTCTCCCCGCAGATTCAGACCGCCATGCCATCGGCACAGAATCTCGTGCTCATGGCACAGCTCAGCCCGGCCACGAAGCCTCTCGCAGGAATGCTTGCCTCCTTGATGCTGCGACAGGTGGGTGTGCGTGTGAGGAACGAGGAGGGGGGACAGCGGTGGGGGATATGGGATGGTGGGCGTTGTGTGAATGGGTGCTCATGGCGCAGCTCAGCCCCGCCACCAAGCCTCTCGCAGGAATGCTGGCCTCCCTGATGCTGCGACAGGTGGGCTGGTGGTATAGGGGGTGTGGAACGGGAGGGGTGTGAGGGGTGCAGGATGGGAGGGGTGTGTGGGGTGCAGGATGGGAGGGGTGTGTGGGGTGTAGGATGGGAGGGGTGTGTGGGGTGCAGGATGGGAGGGGTGAGGGCTGTTTGCATGGTTGTTCATTTCACAACTCAGCAGCAAGCCCCCCGCAGGCATGCTGGCCTTCTTGATGCTGCGACAGGTGAGAGGAGGAGAGGGGAGGGGTGTGGGAGGTGTGGGGTGTTGTACAATGGGCTCTGTGTTTCTGCACTGCATGGGTGCTGATGGCGCAACTCAGCCCCAACAGAAAGCCCCTTGCAGCCATGCTGGCCTTCCTGATGCTGCGACAGGTGAGAGGAGGAGAGGGGAGGGGTGTGGGAGGTGTGGGATGGGCGGGTGTAGGGGGTGTGGGATGGGCGGGTGTAGGGGGTGTGGGATGGGCGGGTGCAGGGGGTGTGGGATGGGCGGGTGCAGGGGGTGTGGGATGGGCGGGTGCAGGGGGGTGTGGGATGGGCGGGTGCAGGGGTGTGGGATGGGCGGGTGCAGGGGGTGTGGGATGGGCGGGTGCAGGGGGTGTGGGATGGGCGGGTGCAGGGGTGTGGGATGGGCGGGTGCAGGGGGTGTGGGATGGGCGGGTGCAGGGGGTGTGGGATGGGCGGGTGCAGGGGGTGTGGGATGGGCGGGTGCAGGGGGTGTGGGATGGGCGGGTGCAGGGGGTGTGGATGGGCGGGTGCAGGGGGTGTGGGATGGGCGGGTGCAGGGGGTGTGGGATGGGCGGGTGCAGGGGGTGTGGGATGGGCGGGTGCAGGGGGTGTGGGATGGGCGGGTGCAGGGGGTGTGGGATGGGCGGGTGCAGGGGGTGTGGGATGGGCGGGTGCAGGGGGTGTGGGATGGGCGGGTGCAGGGGGTGTGGGATGGGCGGGTGCAGGGGGTGTGGGATGGGCGGGTGCAGGGGGTGTGGGATGGGCGGGTGCAGGGGGTGTGGGATGGGCGGGTGCAGGGGGTGTGGGATGGGCGGGTGCAGGGGGTGTGGGATGGGCGGGTGCAGGGGGTGTGGGATGGGCGGGTGCAGGGGGTGTGGGATGGGCGGGTGCAGGGGGTGTGGGATGGGCGGGTGCAGGGGGTGTGGGATGGGCGGGTGCAGGGGTGTGGGATGGGCGGGTGCAGGGGGTGTGGGATGGGCGGGTGCAGGGGGTGTGGGATGGGCGGGTGCAGGGGGTGTGGGATGGGCGGGTGCAGGGGGTGTGGGATGGGCGGGTGCAGGGGGTGTGGGATGGGCGGGTGCAGGGGGTGTGGGATGGGCGGGTGCAGGGGGTGTGGGATGGGCGGGTGCAGGGGGTGTGGGATGGGCGGGTGCAGGGGGTGTGGGATGGGCGGGTGCAGGGGGTGTGGGATGGGCGGGTGCAGGGGGTGTGGGATGGGCGGGTGCAGGGGGTGTGGGATGGGCGGGTGCAGGGGGTGTGGGATGGGCGGGTGCAGGGGGTGTGGGATGGGCGGGTGCAGGGGGTGTGGGATGGGCGGGTGCAGGGGGTGTGGGATGGGCGGGTGCAGGGGGTGTGGGATGGGCGGGTGCAGGGGGTGTGGGATGGGCGGGTGCAGGGGGTGTGGGATGGGCGGGTGCAGGGGGTGGGATGGGCGGGTGCAGGGGGTGTGGGATGGGCGGGTGCAGGGGGTGTGGGATGGGCGGGTGCAGGGGGTGTGGGATGGGCGGGTGCAGGGGTGTGGGATGGGCGGGTGCAGGGGTGTGGGATGGGCGGGTGCAGGGGGTGTGGGATGGGCGGGTGCAGGGGGTGTGGGATGGGCGGGTGCAGGGGGTGTGGGATGGGCGGGTGCAGGGGGTGTGGGATGGGCGGGTGCAGGGGGTGTGGGATGGGCGGGTGCAGGGGGTGGGATGGGCGGGTGCAGGGGTGTGGGATGGGCGGGTGCAGGGGGTGTGGGATGGGCGGGTGCAGGGGGTGTGGGATGGGCGGGTGCAGGGGGTGTGGGATGGGCGGGTGCAGGGGGTGTGGGATGGGCGGGTGCAGGGGTGTGGGATGGGCGGGTGCAGGGGGTGTGGGATGGGCGGGTGCAGGGGGTGTGGGATGGGCGGGTGCAGGGGGTGTGGGATGGGCGGGTGCAGGGGGTGTGGGATGGGCGGGTGCAGGGGGTGTGGGATGGGCGGGTGCAGGGGTGTGGGATGGGCGGGTGCAGGGGGTGTGGGATGGGCGGGTGCAGGGGGTGTGGGATGGGCGGGTGCAGGGGGTGTGGGATGGGCGGGTGCAGGGGGTGTGGGATGGGCGGGTGCAGGGGGTGTGGGATGGGCGGGTGCAGGGGGTGTGGGATGGGCGGGTGCAGGGGTGTGGGATGGGCGGGTGCAGGGGTGTGGGATGGGCGGGTGCAGGGGGTGTGGGATGGGCGGGTGCAGGGGGTGTGGGATGGGCGGGTGCAGGGGGTGTGGGATGGGCGGGTGCAGGGGGTGTGGGATGGGCGGGTGCAGGGGGTGTGGGATGGGCGGGTGCAGGGGGTGTGGGATGGGCGGGTGCAGGGGGTGTGGGATGGGCGGGTGCAGGGGGTGTGGGATGGGCGGGGTGCAGGGGGTGTGGGATGGCGCGGTGCAGGGGGTGTGGGATGGGCGGGTGCAGGGGGTGTGGGATGGGCGGGTGCAGGGGGTGTGGGATGGGCGGGTGCAGGGGGTGTGGGATGGGCGGGTGCAGGGGGTGTGGGATGGGCGGGGTGCAGGGGGTGTGGATGGGCGGGTGCAGGGGGTGTGGGATGGGCGGGTGCAGGGGGTGTGGGATGGGCGGGTGCAGGGGGTGTGGGATGGGCGGGTGCAGGGGGTGTGGGATGGGCGGGTGCAGGGGGTGTGGGATGGGCGGGTGCAGGGGGTGTGGGATGGGCGGGTGCAGGGGGTGTGGGATGGGCGGGTGCAGGGGGTGTGGGATGGGCGGGTGCAGGGGGTGTGGGATGGGCGGGTGCAGGGGGTGTGGGATGGGCGGTGTTGCCAGGGGTGTGGGATGGGCGGGTGCAGGGGGGTGTGGGATGGGCGGGTGCAGGGGGTGTGGGATGGGCGGGTGCAGGGGGTGTGGGATGGGCGGGTGCAGGGGGTGTGGGATGGGCGGGTGCAGGGGGTGTGGGATGGGCGGGTGCAGGGGGTGTGGGATGGGCGGGTGCAGGGGGTGTGGGATGGGCGGGTGCAGGGGGTGTGGGATGGGCGGGTGCAGGGGGTGTGGGATGGGCGGTGCAGGGGGTGTGGGATGGGCGGGTGCAGGGGGTGTGGGATGGGCGGGTGCAGGGGGGTGGGATGGGCGGGTGCAGGGGGTGTGGGATGGGCGGGTGCAGGGGCGTGTGGGGATGGGCGGGTGCAGGGGGTTGTGGGATGGGCGGGTGCAGGGGGTGTTGGATGGGCGGGTGCAGGGGGTTGTGGGATGGGCGGGTGCAGGGGGTGTGGGATGGGCGGGTGCAGGGGGTGTGGGATGGGCGGGTGCAGGGGGTGTGGGATGGGCGGGGTGCAGGGGTGTGGGATGGGCGGGTGCAGGGCGGTGTGGGATGGGAGGGGGCAGGGGGTGTGGGATGGGGGGTGCAGGGGGTGTGGGATGAGGCGGGTGCAGGGGTGTGGTATGGGCGGGTGCAGGGGGTGTGGGATGGGCGGGTGCAGGGGTGTGGGATGGGCGGGTGCAGGGGGTGTAGGGATGGGCGGGTGCAGGGGGTGTGGGATGGGCGGGTGCAGGGGTGTGGGATGGGCGGGTGCAAGGGGGTGTGGGATGGGCGGGTGCAGGGGGTGTGGGATGGGCGGGTGCAGGGGGTGTGGGATGGGCGGGTGCAGGGGGTGTGGGATGGGCGGGTGCAGGGGGTGTGGGATGGGCGGGTGCAGGGGGTTGGGATGGGCTGGGTGCAGGGGTGTGGGATGGGCGGGTGCAGGGGGTGTGGGAGGGCGGGTGCAGGGGGTGTGGGATGGGCGGGTGCAGGGGGGTGTGGGTATGCGGCGGGTGCAGGGGGTGTGGGATGGGCGGGTGCAGGGGTGTGGGCATGGGCGGGTGCAGGGGGTGTGGGATGGCGCGGTGCAGGGGGTGTGGGATGGGCGGGTGCAGGGGGTGTGGGATGGGCGGGTGCAGGGGGTGTGGGATGGGCGGGTTGCAGGGGGTGTGGGATGGGCGGGTGCAGGGGGTGTGGGATGGGCGGGTGCAGGGGGTGTGGGATGGGCGGGTGCAGGGGGTGTGGATGGGCGGGTGCAGGGGGTGTGGGATGGGCGGGGTGCAGGGGGTGTGGGATGGGCGGGTGCAGGGGGTGTGGGATGGGCGGGTGCAGGGGGTGTGGGATGGGCGGGTGCAGGGGGTGTGGGATGGGCGGGTGCAGGGGGTGTGGGAGGGCGGGTGCAGGGGGTGTGGGATGGGCGGGTGCAGGGGTGTGGGATGGGCGGGTGCAGGGGGTGTGGGATGGGCGGGGTGCAGGGGGTGTGGGATGGGCGGGTGCAGGGGGTGTGGGATGGGCGGGGGGGGGGGTTGCAGGGGGTGTGGGATGGGCGGGTGCAGGGGGTGTGGGATGGCGGGTGCAGGGGGTGTGGGATGGGCGGGTGCAGGGGGTGTGGGATGGGCGGGTGCAGGGGGTGTGGGATGGGCGGGTGCAGGGGGTGTGGGATGGGCGGGTGCAGGGGGTGTGGGATGGGCGGGTGCAGGGGGTGTGGGATGGGCGGGTGCAGGGGGGTGTGGGATGGGCGGGTGCAAGGGGGTGTGGGATGGGCGGGTGCAGGGGGTGTGGGATGGGCGGGTGCAGGGGTGTGGGATGGGCGGGTGCAGGGGGTGTGGGATGGGCGGGTGCAGGGGGTGTGGGATGGGCGGGTGCAGGGGGTGTGGGATGGGCGGGTGCAGGGGTGTGGGATGGGCGGGTGCAGGGGGGTGTGGGATGGGCGGGTGCAGGGGGTGTGGGATGGGCGGGTGCAGGGGGTGTGGGATGGGCGGGTGCAGGGGGTGTGGGATGGGCGGAGGTGCAGGGGGTGTGGGATGGGCGGGTGCAGGGGTGTGGGATGGGCGGGTGCAGGGGGTGTGGGATGGGCGGGGTGCAGGGGTGTGGGGATGGGCGGAGGGAGGGGTGCAGGGGGTGTGGGATGGGCGGGGTGCAGGGGGTGTGGGATGGGCGGGTGCAGGGGGTGTGGGATGGGCGGGTGCAGGGGTGTGGGATGGGCGGGTGCAGGGGGTGTGGGATGGCGGGTGCAGGGGGTGTGGGATGGGCGGGTGCAGGGGGTGTGGGATGGGCGGGTGCAGGGGTGTGGGATGGGCGGGTGCAGGGGGTGTGGGATGGGCGGGTGCAGGGGGTGTGGGATGGGCGGGTGCAGGGGGTGTGGGATGGCGCGGGGCCGGGGGGTGTGGATGGGCGGGTGCAGGGGGTGTGGGATGGGCGGATGCCGGGGGTGTGGATGGGCGGGTGCAGGGGTGTGGGATGGGCGGGTGCAGGGGGTGTGGGATGGGCGGGTGCAGGGGGTGTGGGTATGGGTCCGGTATGGGCGGTGCAGGGGGTGTGGGATGGGCGGGTGCAGGGGGGTGGGATATGGGCGGGTGCAGGGGTGTGGGATGGGCGGGTGCAGGGTGTGTGGGATGGGCGGGATGCAGGGGTGTGGGATGGGCGGGTGCAGGGGGTGTGGGATGGGCGGTGCAGGGGGTGTGGGATGGGCGGGTGCAGGGGGTGTGGGATGGGCGGGTGCAGGGGGTGTGGGATGGGCGGGTGCAGGGGGGTGTGGGATGGGCGGGTGCAGGGGGTGTGGGATGGGCGGGTGCAGGGGGTGTGGGATGGGCGGGGTGCAGGGGGTGTGTGGATGGGGCGGGTGCAGGGGGTGTGGGATGGGCGGGTGCAGGGGGGTGTGGATGGGCGGGTGGCAGGGGGTGTGGGATGGGCGGGTGCAGGGGGTGTGGGATGGGCGGGTGCAGGGGGTGTGGGATGGGCGGGTGCAGGGGGTGTGGGATGGGCGGGTGCAGGGGGTGTGGGATGGCGGGTGCAGGGGGTGTGGGATGGGCGGGTGCAGGGGGTGTGGGATGGGCGGGTGCAGGGGTGTGGGATGGGCGGTGTGCAGGGGGTGTGGGATGGGCGGGTGCAGGGGTGTGGGATGGGCGGAGTGCAGGGGGTGTGGGATGGGCGGGTGCAGGGGGTGTGGGATGGGCGGGTGCAGGGGGTGTGGGATGGGCGGGTGCAGGGGGTGTGGGATGGGCGGGTGCAGGGGGTGTGGGATGGGCGGGTGCAGGGGTGTGGGATGGCGGTGCAGGGGTGTGGGATGGGCGGGTGCAGGGGGTGTGGGATGGGCGGGTGCAGGGGGTGTGGGATGGGCGGGTTGCAGGGGTGTGGGATGGGCGGGTGCAGGGGGTGTGGATGGGCGGGTGCAGGGGGTGTGGGATGGGCGGGTGCAGGGGGTGTGGGATGGGCGGGTGCAGGGGGTGTGGGATGGGCGGGTGCAGGGGGTGTGGGATGGGCGGGTGCAGGGGGTGTGTGGGATGGGCGGGTGGCAGGGGGTGGGATGGGCGGGTGCAGGGGGTGTGGGATGGGCGGGTGCAGGGGGTGTGGGATGGGCGGGTGCAGGGGGTGTGGGATGGGCGGGTGCAGGGGGTGTGGGATGGGCGGGTGCAGGGGGTGTGGGATGGGCGGGGTGCAGGGGGTGTGGGATGGGCGGGCAGGGGTGTGGTGGGCGGGCAGGGGGTGTGGGCTGGCGGGTGCAGGGGGTGTGGGATGGGCGGGTGCAGGGGTGTGGGCTGGGCGGGTGCAGGGGGTGTGGGATGGGCGGGTGCAGGGGTGTGGGATGGGCGGGTGCAGGGGGTGTGGGATGGGCGGGTGCAGGGGGTGTGGGAATGGGCGGGTGCAGGGGGTGTGGGATGGGCGGGTGCAGGGTGGTGTGGGATGGGCGGGTGCAGGGGGTGTGGGATGGGGCGGGTGCAGGGGGTTGTGGGATGGGCGGGTGCAGGGGGTGTGGGATGGGCGGGTGCAGGGGGGTGTGGGATGGGCGGGTGCAGGGGTGTGGGATGGGCGGGTGCAGGGGGTGTGGGATGGGCGGGTGCAGGGGGTGTGGGAATGGGCGGGTGCAGGGGGTGTGGGATGGGCGGGTGCAGGGGTGTGGGATGGGCGGGTGGAGGGGGGTGTGGGATGGGCGGGTGGCAGGGGGTGTGGGATGGGCGGGTGCAGGGGGTGTGGGATGGGCGGGTGCAGGGGGTGTGGGATGGGCGGGTGCAGGGGGTGTGGGATGGGCGAGGTGCAGGGGGTGTGGGATGGGCGGGTGCAGGGGGTGTGGGAGGGGCGGGTGCAGGGGGTGTGGGATGGGCGGGTGCAGGGGGTGTGGGATGGGCGGGTGCAGGGGGTGTGGGATGGGCGGGTGCAGGGGGTGTGGGATGGGCGGGTGCAGGGGGTGTGGGATGGGCGGGTGCAGGGGGTGTGGGATGGGCGGGGTGTGGGGAGTGTGGGATGGCGGGGTGTGGGAGTGTGGGATGGGCGGGGTGTGGGGAGTGTGGGATGGGCGGGGTGTGGGGAGTGTGGGATGGGCGGGGTGTGGGGAGTGTGGGATGGGCGGGGTGTGGGGAGTGTGGGATGGGCGGGGTGTGGGGAGTGTGGGATGGGCGGGGTGTGGGGAGTGTGGGATGGGAGGGTGCAGGGGGTGTGGGATGGGCGGGGTGTGGGGAGTGTGGGGAGTGTGGGGAGTGTGGGATGGGCGGGGTGTGGGGAGTGTGGGATGGGCGGGGTGTGGGGAGTGTGGGGAGTGTGGGGAGTGTGGGATGGGCGGGGTGTGGGGAGTGTGGGGAGTGTGGGGAGTGTGGGGAGTGTGGGATGGGCGGGGTGTGGGGAGTGTGGGGAGTGTGGGGAGTGTGGGATGGGCGGGGTGTGGGGAGTGTGGGGAGTGTGGGATGGGCGGGGTGTGGGGAGTGTGGGGAGTGTGGGGAGTGTGGGATGGGCGGGGTGTGGGGAGTGTGGGGAGTGTGGGGAGTGTGGGATGGGCGGGGTGTGGGGAGTGTGGGGAGTGTGGGGAGTGTGGGATGGGCGGGGTGTGGGGAGTGTGGGATGGGCGGGGTGTGGGGAGTGTGGGATGGGCGGGGTGTGGGGAGTGTGGGATCGGAGGGTGCAGGGGGTGTAGGATGGGCGGGGTGTGGGGAGTGTGGGATGGGCGGGGTGTGGGGAGTGTGGGATGGGCGGGGTGTGGGGAGTGTGGGATGGGCGGGGTGTGGGGAGTGTGGGATGGGCGGGGTGTGGGGAGTGTGGGATGGGCGGGGTGTGGGGAGTGTGGGATGGGCGGGGTGTGGGGAGTGTGGGATGGGCGGGGTGTGGGGAGTGTGGGATGGGCGGGGTGTGGGAGTGTGGGATGGGCGGGGTGTGGGGAGTGTGGGATGGGCGGGGTGTGGGGAGTGTGGGATGGGCGGGGTGTGGGGAGTGTGGGATGGGAGGGTGCAGGGGGTGTGGGATGGGCGGGGTGTGGGAGTGTGGGGAGTGTGGGGAGTGTGGGGAGTGTGGGATGGGCGGGGTGTGGGGAGTGTGGGATGGGCGGGGTGTGGGGAGTGTGGGGAGTGTGGGGAGTGTGGGATGGGCGGGGTGTGGGGAGTGTGGGGAGTGTGGGGAGTGTGGGGAGTGTGGGATGGCGGGGTCAGGGGGTGTGGGATGGGCGGGTGCAGGGGTGTGGGATGGGCGGGTGCAGGGGGTGTGGGATGGGGGCGGGGGTGTGGGGAGTGTGGGATGGGCGGGGGTGTGGGAGTGTGGGATGGGCGGGGTGTGGGGAGTGTGGGATGGGCGGGGTGTGGGGAGTGTGGGATGGGAGGGTGCAGGGGGTGTGGGATGGGCGGGGTGTGGGGAGTGTGGGGAGTGTGGGGAGTGTGGGGAGTGTGGGATGGGCGGGGTGTGGGGAGTGTGGGGAGTGTGGGGAGTGTGGGATGGGCGGGGTGTGGGGAGTGTGGGAGTGTGGGGAGTGTGGGATGGGCGGGGTGTGGGGAGTGTGGGATGGGCGGGGTGTGGGAGTGTGGGATGGGCGGGGTGTGGGGAGTGTGGGATGGGCGGGGTGTGGGGAGTGTGGGATGGGCGGGGTGTGGGGAGTGTGGGATGGGCGGGGTGTGGGGAGTGTGGGATGGGCGGGGTGTGGGGAGTGTGGATGGGAGGGTGCAGGGGGTGTGGGATGGGCGGGGTGTGGGGAGTGTGGGGAGTGTGGGGAGTGTGGGGAGTGTGGGATGGGGCGGGGTGTGGGGAGTGTGGGGAGTGTGGGGAGTGTGGGATGGGCGGGGTGTGGGGAGTGTGGGGAGTGTGGGGAGTGTGGGATGGGCGGGGTGTGGGGAGTGTGGGATGGGCGGGGTGTGGGGAGTGTGGGATGGGCGGGGTGTGGGGAGTGTGGGATGGGCGGGGTGTGGGGAGTGTGGGATGGGCGGGGTGTGGGGAGTGTGGGATGGGCGGGGTGTGGGGAGTTGTGGATGGGCGGGGTGTGGGGAGTGTGGGATGGGCGGGGTGTGGGGAGTGTGGGATGGGAGGGTGCAGGGGTGTGGGATGGGCGGGGTGTGGGGAGTGTGGGATGGGCGGGGTGTGGGGAGTGTGGATGGGCGGGGTGTGGGGAGTGTGGGATGGGCGGGGTGTGGGGAGTGTGGGATGGGCGGGGTGTGGGGAGTGTGGGATGGGCTGGGATGGGGACGGGGTGTGGGGAGTGTGGGATGGGCGGGGTGTGGGGAGTGTGGGATGGGCGGGGTGTGGGGAGTGTGGGATGGGCGGGGTGTGGGGGAGTGTGGGATGGGCGGGGTGTGGGGAGTGGGGGATGGGGTCGGGGTGTGGGGAGTGTGGGATGGGGGGGGTGTGGGGAGTGTGGGATGGGCGGGGTGTGGGGAGTGGGGATGGGCGGGGTGTGGGGAGTGTGGGATGGGCGGGGTGTGGGGAGTGTGGGATGGGCGGGGTGTGGGGAGTGTGGGATGGGCGGGGTGTGGGGAGTGTGGGATGGGAGGGTGCAGGGGGTGTGGGATGGGCGGGGTGTGGGGAGTGTGGGATGGGCGGGGTGTGGGGGAGTGTGGGATGGGCGGGGTGTGGGGAGTGTGGGATGGGCGGGGTGTGGGGAGTGTGGGATGGGCGGGGTGTGGGGAGTGTGGGATGGGCGGGGTGTGGGGAGTGTGGGATGGGCGGGGTGTGGGGATTGTGGGATGGGCGGGGTGTGGGGAGTGTGGGATGGGCGGGGTGTGGGGAGTGTGGGATGGGGCGGGGTGTGGGGAGTGTGGGATGGGCGGGGTGTGGGGAGTGTGGGATGGGCGGGGTGTGGGGAGTGTGGGATGGGCGGGGTGTGGGGAGTGTGGGATGGGCGGGGTGTGGGGAGTGTGGGATGGGCGGGGTGTGGGGAGTGTGGGATGGGCGGGGTGTGGGGAGTGTGGGATGGGCGGGGTGTGGGGAGTGTGGGATGGGCGGGGTGTGGGGAGTGTGGATGGGCGGGGTGTGGGGAGTGTGGATGGGCGGGGTGTGGGGAGTGTGGGATGGGCGGGGTGTGGGAGTGTGGGATGGGCGGGGTGTGGGGAGTGTGGGATGGGCGGGGTGTGGGGGAGTGTGGGATGGGCGGGGTGTGGGGAGTGTGGGATGGGCGGGGTGTGGGGAGTGTGGGATGGGCGGGGTGTGGGGAGTGTGGGATGGGCGGGGTGTGGGGAGTGTGGGATGGGCGGGGTGTGGGGAGTGTGGGATGGGCGGGGTGTGGGGAGTGTGGGATGGGCGGGGTGTGGGGGTGTGGGATGGGCGGGGTGTGGGGAGTGTGGGATGGGCGGGGTGTGGGGAGTGTGGGATGGGCGGGGTGTGGGGAGTGTGGGATGGGCGGGGTGTGGGGAGTGTGGGATGGGCGGGGTGTGGGGAGTGTGGGATGGGCGGGGTGTGGGGAGTGTGGGATGGGCGGGGTGTGGGGAGTGTGGGATGGGCGGGGTGTGGGGAGTGTGGGATGGGCGGGGTGTGGGGAGTGTGGGATGGGCGGGGTGTGGGTGGGAGTAGGTGGGATGGGCGGGGTGTGGGGAGTGTGGGATGGGAGGGTGCAGGGGGTGTGGATGGGCGGGGTGTGGGGAGTGTGGGATGGGCGGGGTGTGGGGAGTGTGGGATGGGCGGGGTGTGGGGAGTGTGGGATGGGCGGGGTGTGGGGAGTGTGGGATGGGCGGGGTGTGGGGAGTGTGGGATGGGCGGGGTGTGGGGAGTGTGGGATGGGCGGGGTGTGGGGAGTGTGGGATGGCGGGTGTGTGGGAGTGTGGGATGGGCGGGGTGTGGGGAGTGTGGGATGGGAGGGTGCAGGGGGTGTGGGATGGGCGGGGTGTGGGGAGTGTGGGATGGGCGGGGTGTGGGGAGTGTGGGATGGGCGGGGTGTGGGGAGTGTGGGATGGGCGGGGTGTGGGGAGTGTGGGATGGGCGGGGTGTGGGGAGTGTGGGATGGGCGGGGTGTGGGGGAGTGTGGGATGGGCGGGGTGTGGGGAGTGTGGGATGGGAGGGTGCAGGGGGTGTGGGATGGGCGGGGTGTGGGGAGTGTGGGATGGGCGGGGTGTGGGGAGTGTGGGATGGGCGGGGTGTGGGGAGTGTGGGATGGGCGGGGTGTGGGGAGTGTGGGATGGGCGGGGTGTGGGGAGTGTGGGATGGGCGGGGTGTGGGGAGTGTGGGATGGGCGGGGTGTGGGGAGTGTGGGATGGGCGGGGTGTGGGGAGTGTGGGATGGGAGGGTGCAGGGGGTGTGGGATGGGCGGGGTGTGGGGAGTGTGGGATGGGCGGGGTGTGGGGAGTGTGGGATGGGGGGGTGTGGGGAGTGTGGGATGGGCGGGGTGTGGGGAGTGTGGGATGGGCGGGGTGTGGGGAGTGTGGGATGGGCGGGGTGTGGGGAGTGTGGGATGGGCGGGGTGTGGGGAGTGTGGGATGGGCGGGGTGTGGGGAGTGTGGGATGGGAGGGTGCAGGGGGTGTGGGATGGGCGGGGTGTGGGGAGTGTGGGATGGGCGGGGTGTGGGGAGTGTGGGATGGGCGGGGTGTGGGGAGTGTGGGATGGGCGGGGTGTGGGGAGTGTGGGATGGGCGGGGTGTGGGGAGTGTGGGATGGGCGGGGTGTGGGGAGTGTGGGATGGGCGGGGTGTGGGGATTGTGGGATGGGCGGGGTGTGGGGAGTGTGGGATGGGCGGGGTGTGGGGAGTGTGGATGGGCGGGGTGTGGGGAGTGTGGGATGGGCGGGGTGTGGGGAGTGTGGGATGGGCGGGGTGTGGGGAGTGTGGGATGGGCGGGGTGTGGGGAGTGTGGGATGGGCGGGGTGTGGGGAGTGTGGGATGGGCGGGGTGTGGGGAGTGTGGGATGGGCGGGGTGTGGGGAGTGTGGGATGGGCGGGGTGTGGGGAGTGTGGGATGGGCGGGGTGTGGGGAGTGTGGGATGGGCGGGGTGTGGGGAGTGTGGGATGGGCGGGGTGTGGGGAGTGTGGGATGGGCGGGGTGTGGGGAGTGTGGGATGGGCGGGGTGTGGGGAGTGTGGGATGGGCGGGGTTGTGGGGAGTGTGGGATGGGCGGGGTGTGGGGAGTGTGGGATGGGCGGGGTGTGGGGAGTGTGGGATGGGCGGGGTGTGGGGAGTGTGGGATGGGCGGGGTGTGGGAGTGTGGGATGGGCGGGGTGTGGGGAGTGTGGGATGGGCGGGGTGTGGGGAGTGTGGGATGGGCGGGGTGTGGGGAGTGTGGGATGGGCGGGGTGTGGGGAGTGTGGGATGGGCGGGGTGTGGGGAGTGTGGGATGGGCGGGGTGTGGGGAGTGTGGGATGGGCGGGGTGTGGGGAGTGTGGGATGGGCGGGGTGTGGGGAGTGTGGGATGGGCGGGGTGTGGGGAGTGTGGGATGGGCGGGGTGTGGGGAGTGTGGGATGGGCGGGGTGTGGGGAGTGTGGGATGGGCGGGGTGTGGGGAGTGTGGGATGGGCGGGGTGTGGGGAGTGTGGGATGGGCGGGGTGTGGGGAGTGTGGGATGGGCGGGGTGTGGGGAGTGGTGGGATGGGCGGGGTGTGGGGAGTGTGGGATGGGCGGGGTGTGGGAAGTGTGGGATGGGCGGGGTGTGGGGAGTGTGGGATGGGCGGGGTAGTGGGGAGTGTGGGATGGGCGGGGTGTGGGGAGTGTGGGATGGGCGGGGTGTGGGGAGTGTGGGATGGGCGGGTGTGGGGAGTGTGGGATGGCGGGTGTGGGGGAGTGTGGGATGGGCGGGTTGTGGGGAGTGTGGGATGGCGGGGTGTGGGGAGTGTGGGATGGGCGGGGTGTGGGGAGTGTGGGATGGGCGGGGTGTGGGGAGTGTGGGATGGGCGGGGTGTGGGGAGTGTGGGATGGGCGGGGTGTGGGGAGTGTGGGATGGGCGGGGTGTGGGGAGTGTGGGATGGGCGGGGTGTGGGGAGTGTGGGATGGGCGGGGTGTGGGGAGTGTGGGATGGGCGGGGTGTGGGGAGTGTGGGATGGGCGGGGTGTGGGAGTGTGGGATGGGCGGGGTGTGGGGAGTGTGGGATGGGCGGGGTGTGGGGAGTGTGGGATGGGCGGGGTTGTGGGGAGTGTGGGATGGGCGGGGTGTGGGGAGTGTGGGATGGGCGGGGTGTGGGGAGTGTGGGGAGTGTGGGGAGTGTGGGATGGGCGGGGTGTGGGGAGTGTGGGATGGGCGGGGTGTGGGGAGTGTGGGATGGGCGGGGTGTGGGGAGTGTGGGATGGGCGGGGTGTGGGGAGTGTGGGATGGGCGGGGTGTGGGGAGTGTGGGATGGGCGGGGTGTGGGGAGTGTGGGGAGTGTGGGGAGTGTGGGATGGGCGAGGTGCGGGGAGTGTGGGATGAGCAGACTCCCCTCCCAATGAACCCTCCCCTCTCCCCTACTTCCCATGCAAGTCCCAATCACAATGCGCAACACTCTTGCTCTCTCTCCCTCACACTCTTTCTGCCCTCCTCTCCTTCCCTTACATTATGTGCATCAGGCCCTTCCTCTTCTCTTCCTCTCACTCACTTTCCTTCTATTTTTCCAACCCCTCCCTTCCGTCCCCTGCAGTACGCCATTACCATGCTGCCCATCACTGTGTGGATCACAGTGTTCCTCTCACACCTCACGTGGCCTTTCTCTCCTCCATGCCTCCCCTTCCCCTGCTACCTCTCTCCCCCATCCCCTGCAGTACGCCATTACCATGCCGCCCATCACTGTGTGGATCACAGTGTTCCCAGTGCAACCTTCATGCCTTCCAAACCCCCATCCCTCGCCCTCGCTCGCTATCCTTCCCATCTACCCTCCCCTCCGTCCCCTGCAGTACGCCATTTCCATGCTCCCCATCACAGTGTGGATCACGGTCTTCCCAGGGCAACCCACATGCTTTATCAAAATCCAACCCCCCCCCCTCCCCTCTCTTGCATCCCTCCCCCCCATCCCCTACAGTACGCCATTGCCATGCTCCCGATCACAGTGTGGATCACCGTCTTCCTCTCACGCCTCAACATGGCCTTTCCCTCCCCCATGCGTCCCCTTACCCTGCTAATCCTGCCCTTCTTCCCCTGCAGTTCGCCATTGCCATGCTCCCCATCACAGTATGAGTCACAGCTATTCTCTCCTTCCCTCTCACTCCTGTCCTCTCTGCCCTCACTCCTGTCGCCCAATCACCATTTCCACCCCTCCGTCCCCTGCAGTACGCCATTGCCATGCTCCCAATCACAGTGTGGATCACGGTCTTCCTCTCACGCCTCAACATGGCCATATGAAGACACAAGAAGTGCAAACATGATGGAGAATCACGAGGCATCCAGCCTCGGGGTACACTCCTGTGAGCAAGCATCACAAAAGAGGCCTCTCTTACACAATCTACATGGAAAAAGAGGGAAATATTTTTTCTTATCTACATTAGTTCATGACGGAACATTGGTCATAAAATAGCTACACGTTACCTTCACATCGCTTGGTGTGTGAAGCGTGTGGTATTGACGAGATTCTTAATCAGCATTGGGCAAAACCAGGCTCACAGATTTCAGCATTGTGCAAATGTGTACAGTGCTAAACAGTGTAGACTATCGAACACATGAGCTCATTGACTTAAGAGGCCTTTTTAAAAAAAAGAAGGTACATCAAGTGGGCAAATAAGCAAAGGAAAGGGCAGGAAGTTTGGCAAGTCAGCTGGTGGAAACAAGCCGCCAGCAGGCCCTCAGATTGGTTTTGGGCTAGTCTGAAAATTCTGAGTTGGTACATGACTTCACTCTGAAAATCAGAGTTTTTCCTGTAGAAATACCACTGCACACTAGAAAAAATCGCATTTTTCTTGTTTTTTTCTAAAAAAAAAGGCTGATTTTTCAGAGTTCACTTTAAAAAAACGCTGAAATATCAGAGTTTTTTAGGCAAATCAGAGAAATTCCTCTGACTTCTGGGGGCCTGCTTGCCAGCATTCCTGCCCTTGATGCTCATTCCTCTTAATACGGTACGGTACAAACACACCATATGGTAACTCCTGAAAGAACATAATCGAAGCAACATTACATTACGTAGAGATAATAAGGTAAGCAAAGGCAAGGGCAGGAAGACTGGCAAGTCAGCTGGTGAAATCTAGCCTGGTGTCTTGCCAGCATTCCTGCCCCTGATGCTCATTCCTAACAAAAACACCCCATAACAAAACTCCAAGCTAAAAGAACCCTGAATTGAGATCTCCTACTCCATTCCCAGCAAGGAACGGAACCACAATGGAACACCACCACCATCAGCAGCAGCAGCAGCAGCAGCAGCAGCAGCAGCAGCAGCAGCAGCAGCAGCAGCAGCAGCAGCAGCAGCAGCAGCAGCAGCAGCAGCAGCAGCAGCAGCAGCAGCAGCAGCAGCAGCAGCAGCAGCAGCAGCAGCAGCAGCAGCAGCAGCATCCGTGGCAGCAGCAGCGGCGGCGACGGCAGCAGCAGCGGCGACGGCAGCAGCAGCGCATCAGGCAGTGGCGGAGGGAAGATTAACGCCCATGAGCTGGCTGCCCCACGCCACACCCCCCCCTCCCCCCTCCCCCCCCCAGTGGCAGTGCAAACCCAGCAGCAGCAGCAAATCAGGCAGCGGCGGAGGGCAGTTTGACGCCCATGAGCTGGCCGCCCCACGCCACACCCCCCCCTTCCCCCCCCCCCCCCAGTGGCAGTGCAAAGCCAGCAGCAGCAGCACGCCAGTGCATTAGGCAGCGGCGGCGGAGGGAAGTTTCACGCCCATGAGCTGGCCGCCCCACGCCACACCCCCAGCAGTGGCAGTGGCCAGCACGGCATACCCACTCACAGTCCCGTTCACCCCGCCACCCCCCATCATCCCCCCCGCGCCCCCAGCGCCTGGGTAACCACCTGAGGAACCACCTGCAGGCGGCTGCTGCGGCGCCCCCTGCTGCTGCCCCCCCTGCCTGGCGCCGGTGACGCGCCCCGCTGCGCGCATCAGCAGCTCCCTGCCCATGCGCCTGCTGCCCTGCCCGCTGCGCGTGCCCCCCGAGCTGCCTCCACGTCCGCCGCCGCCGCGCGCCGCCGGGAGCGTCGCGTTGGGGAGGAGCGCGAGGAGCGCTTCGACGGTGGCGGCGTCCGCGTTCTCGAGGAACGCGTCGAGCCGCGCCTCCGCGTGCAGCAGCCACCAGCCTTCGCGCTGCTGCCAGTCGGACGCCGCCAGCGGAATCGCGAGGATCGCGGCGGCGGAGGCGGAAGAGTCGCAGACGGTGCCCTTTACGATCGCGAGGGAGTCGGGCGGCCCGCCCGTGGCGCCCACGAGGAGCGCGTCGACCGCCAGGTTGTAATTTCCGCTCGCGTTCCTGGCGGAGGGGGAATAAGGGAATAGAAGAACGAATTAGTCCGACGAAGCGCATCGAGATTGTAATCTGCAGCGCTTGACCAAGAAGAGAAGAATTCCGAAGGTGCGACGCCCAAGCTAAATGAACGAGAAAACCCGACAAAAGGAGCCCCGCGAAAGTTAGGGTTACACTGGCGAAGTGAGCCAAAATTGAAAAACATCGAAGCTCACTTGAAGATGGCGAGGTGAAAGCGGCCGTCGAGAAAGGTTGCATCCGCGGAGCAGTTGACCAATCGCGCGCCGACGTCCGCCGTCAGATTGCCAACGACCGTCAAGTTGAACGGAGGACCGCGCGGACCAGCAGGCCCACCAGGCCCGCCAGGCCCACCAGACCCGGGTCCGCCAGGTCCTCCGCGCGCCCCTCCGGACTGCTGGCCTCCGGGAGGGCCTCCGCCAGGCGGTCCACGCTGCGCAGCCACGGAATTCGCAAGGAGGAGCGCAATGCAAACGAAAATATATCCCCTAACTGCCATGGTTTCCGGAATCGTGAAGTGAATTGGCTTGTATTGGCTTGTATTGGTGAAGGTTCGATGGATGGGAGAAGGCGGAGCAGCAAATGTGAGATGGGAAGAGATTGAACTGCGGGAGCAATTTATGGGCAACAGCTTTCTCACAATCAATGCTCGAGTCGAGTCGGGCGTTGACTGAGGAAACAAAATTCCCGAGACGCGAGGAGACTGGTCAATAAGTTGGGCCAGTCGCGATTCGTGAGACACATGAGGTATGGTTGTGCTCCCTTGTCTGATTTGGCTCGTATTGTTTGGTTTGGAGCTTGTCGGTTAAAGCTTAGCGGCTCGGTAAGGTGACGAACCGGATGGTTAGGTCTAGTGAGGAAGGTGCTAATGACTAAGTGTTGAAATACTTCGACTGTTTGGAGCCGTGGGTCAACGCAGAGCAGAAAACATTCGAGGGTTGCAGTTGAACCTGCAGTCAGCGGGGGCGAGTTCACAAAGCAGGGCTGAAACAGATTCTCTGAAAAAAAATGCTAGTGTATACCCATATTCGCTGATGTTTAAAATGTACAGAATATGTTGAGTGAATGATGCTAGAGGATACGTCAAGTAAATTTGAGACATCCGAGGATTTGTTAATTGACTGAAAAATGCGAGGTGCTGCTGAATGGCTGCTATTGAGTGTCTTTCAGAATTTCAGGTGCTGCTTCTTCGGCTTCCAGTTCTGCTCTGGTCGCTACACAGTTCCAGTGTGCAACACAGTGTCGTGGTCTGGTACTGTGTTCTTCTGGTTGTGCGATTAGAGGAGCTATGGAAGTGTGATGAGCTTTCATATCTATACACTCTGAAAAGCTTACTACGGTATCTTATTTGGAGCCACAAGCTACAAGACATGCTTTGACTCTGTCACAACAAAGCTGAGGCACTAGAAGCTCATAATGTACCCGTGCATGCTGTTGTGTCACTGCCACACTTGAAGAACGCTCGTCCTTCAAGTGCTATCCTGTCTCGACTCTCCAGATGCCCATGTTGAAGCGTGAGAGAAGGAGGCTTTTAATATTGAGGCGCTTGAAACTCTCCAAATGGCCATGTTGAAGAACGCTCGAGCTCTCTTGTCTTTGGTTCGGTATGCTGACACCTTCGTTTGGTCATGTTGCGACAATAGAGAAAGAAAGCACCGTCTTGTGCTGGCCAGACGGCTCGAGAGGAACACCATCTACCTTGAGACGTCTCAAGGTGGCAGACATGTTCAGGTGTGAAAGGAAGAGACGTGTGGAGGCAGGCACCTGGGAAGTGCTTGTGCCTGCCCTCGTGCCTTCAGGCGGTTATGCTGCCGCTTTCATATGGTCATGTTGAGGCGTGAGAGAAAGACTGTTATCCACACTGTGATTGGGAGCATGGATATGGCGTACTGCAGTGGAGGAAAGGGGAGGGAGGGATGCAAGAGAGGGAGAGGCTTGGGTATTGCTACTAAGTCGAGCTGTTACATGTGCACTCAGAAATGACTTTTGAGGCGCCTAAAAAACGACTGATGCGCACACAGGCAAACAACCACAACAACCCCTACACCTCCCACAACCCACCTGTCGCAGCATCAAGGACTCCAGCATTCTTGCCAGCGGCTTGGTGGCTGGGCTGAGCTACGACATGAGCACACATGCATATAGCCCAGCCTCCCACACTTCCCACAGCCCCCAAGCCCACCTGTAGCAGCATCAAGGACTCCAGCATTCCTGCCAGGGGCTTGGTAGCCGGGCTGAGATGCACCATGAGCACACATAGAGTCAGCAGAGCCCCCCCTTCATTTTCACACACACACCTGTCGGAGCATGAGCGAGGCGAGCATTCCTGCTAGAGGCTTGGTGGCTGGGCTGAGTTGAGACATGAGCACACACACATGCAGACAGAGCCCACCGTTCCACACCCCACCAAACCCCTACCTCTTACTCTTTTCTCTCCCACACACACCTGTCGGAGCATGAGCGAGGCGAGCATTCCTGCTAGAGGCTTGGTGGCCGGGCTGAGCTGAGACATAAGCACGAGATTTTGAGCTGATGGCATGGCGGTCTGAATCTGAGGGCAACAGGGTGAGAGGAGGGGAGAGGAGGAGAGAGGAGGGGAAAGGAGAGGAGTGAAGGAGAAAGTAGAGAGAAGATGAGAGAGGAGACGAAAACAATGAAGATTGAGACCAGCATTCCTCCTGGTGGCATGGTGGCCGGGCGCGTGGAGGATGAGATGAGATTCCTCGCATACAACCAGCATGGCGGGTCGCATGGCGCAGAAAGAGGACATGTGGTCCCACACGAGCGGATGTTACATGTGTGAATGAGAACAAGCGAATCACACAAGGCAAGTGATCCCACTGCGATAGAATCGGTATAAGGCAAAGGTGTGCAGAAGAAACATTGGAAGATGACAGGGCGATGAGAGCCAAGCCAACACAAGGAGAGAGGGCCAAACGGGTGGGGGTGAGGAGGGCAGGTGAGGAGGGCAGGTGAGGAGGGCAGGTGAGGAGGGCAGGTGAGGAGGGCAGGTGAGGAGGGCAGGTGAGGAGGGCAATACTGACCATGAGGGTGAGCGCACAAACAGGGTCTTGTGGGATCAATTTGGCTTTGTACAGTGCCTGAGAAGCAAGGGGAGCGCGGAAAGGGGGGTTTGTCAAGGGGAGGGGTTGGAAGTGTGAGAGAGGACGGAAGTGGAGGAGTTGGAATAGAGAGGGGGAAGAGGAACGGACAAAGGGGAGGGATTGGAAGAGAGAGGGAGAAGGGGAGCGGAAAGGGAGGGATTGGAAGAGAGAGGAAAGAAGAGGAGAGGAAAGGGAGGGATTGGAAGAGAGAGGTAAGAAGAGGAGAGGAAAGGGAGGGACTGGAAGAGAGAGGGAAGAAGAGGAGAGGAAAGGGAGGGATTGGAAGAGAGAGGGAAGAAGAGGAGAGGAAAGGGAGGGATTGGAAGAGAGAGGGAAGAAGAGGACAACGCCTCACCATTATTCCAACAGTCCCAAGCATGGGCAGCAGCAGCAGGCGCACAGCACACACCACCCAGAGCGCCCTATCATCCAGCAAGGAGGGCAGCGCGGCAGCGGAGGATGAGGGAGAAGCAGCAGCAGAGGAAGAAAGGCTCGCTCCAGCAGCTGGCTCACTAACAGTGCTGCCATCTCCCCCATTTCCCAATCTTCCACCACTACCATTTCCCCCTCCTCCAGCAGGTGCAGCGACAGAAGCAGAGTGGCGAGGGCCACGAGACTCCACCCTTATTTCTCTCATGCTCAGGCCGAAAAGGGCAGGCAGTTGGTTGGGACTGAAGAGCACAAGGGAAGAGGGGGTGCTGCCTGGGAGGAAGGGCGGGAAGAGGGAGGGCAGGGTGTGTTGTGACAGACAGCAGCAGAGGGGTGAGGCTACACCCTTATTGCTAATGCGACATTGAATTCTTGGAGTTGAGGGAAAAAGGCTAGAAAAAAACAAACAAACAAACAAACAAACAAAAAACAAAAACATCAAAACAGGAGTCAAAAGGCCAAGGGGAAATCCATCGGTTAAAAAGGGCTGCAACATTTGCGGATGCCAAGGCTGCTGCAACAGTAGAGGATGCAAAAAGGACACCGCAACCCACCTTGCACAGGCATGGGCACGAGAGCAGTGACTTGGGTGTTGGCCGCTGGTGGTAGCAGCTGTTCGATTGCTGCTGACACAGATGCTGCTGTGGCAGAGGTGGGTTGAGGAAGAGGAAGGAGAGGAGGAAGGGGAAGCACATAGCACACCTGGTGTAGGGATTGTCGATAGCGCCGTGACTTCGGTGTTGGCTGCTGGTGGTAGCAGCTGTTCGATTGCTGCTGACACAGATGCTGCTGTGGCAGCAGAGGTGGGAGAGGAGGGATGAGATGGTGAGGAGGAGGACGGAGAGGGGGAGGGAGTGGAGGAAGGGGAGGAGGAGGGTTTGGGCCAGGAGAGGGAGATGCGGGAGGGGATGGAGGAGGCGAGAGAGGACGCAAGCACTACTGCTTGCACGGCCACACAGGCTGACCCAAGAATAGCTGCTGCCTGGGCGGTGGCGGGAGGGAGGGAGGAAGGTGGTTGAGTGGCGAGGCATGCCATCTGGCGAAGAGTGGTTCTCGAGAATACCCCACCCGTTTGACAAACAGGAGACAACGTTATCACTTGTTTTGGACATTGACAATGGATTTGCCTTGCAGAATTCCATTGGCATTTGAGCACCTCTCGCCTGCATGACCTTTGAGACGTCTTAAAGCTCACCTCCATGACGTATGATGCATGCCTTGCCTACCCCACCCACCTCACAGCTCACCTCCATGACGCCATGCAGAATGCCAGCAGTGGCAGGACTGAGAGTGGTTAGTAAACATGACGCATGCCTTGCCTCGACTCTCCTGCCCTTCTCACCTCCAACCCGCATGCCTTGCCTCGCCTGCCCCCACCACCTCCATGATGCTGTGCAGGATGCCAGCAGTGGCAGGGCTGAAGAGCCACAGGACCTGTCAATGCGGGCATCGCATGCCGCATGCCTTGCCTACCCCACCCACCTCACAGCTCACCTCCATGATGCCATGCAGAATGCCGGCAGTGGCAGGGCTGAAGAGCCATGGTGAGGCATAGGCTGGGAGGGAGGCGGCAGCAGCAGCAGAGGAGGAGGAGGCGGGGAGGAAGAAGTGGGAAAGAGGGGTGGCTCCTATTAGCAGACCTGCTAGCACCTGATGGGGGGATGGGAGGAGAGGGGGGAGTGGGAGGAGAGAGCCTAATTGGTTTCACTAGCTCCTATTGAAGCAGATATGTGTGCCCTGGGAACTTTTGAGTCGACTCAAAAGTCAGCTCCTATTGAAGCAGGTATGTGTGCCCTGGGAACGAGGGCACACACACACAAGGGAACGAGGGATGATTGGTCCGATTAGACAGATACGTGGGCACTTGAACAAGACCCTTGGGAACTTAACACACAACCGACTCCATAAATAAGAAACCACGTCATACTTTCGAGTCGACTCAAAAGTACGATTAGACAGATACGTGGGCACTTGAACAAGACCCTTAAAAATTCAACACAGAACCCACTCCATAAATAAGAACCCACATCATGAATAGGAACTCATCCCATAAATAGAAAGCCACCCCATAAATAGAAACGCACCCCATAAATAGGCGGGTTTAGCACTTTCTGAACCACCGCCATCACACGGCTGACAGCATGCTCAAACCCCGTCACTCCCATCGCTTCTGCTGCCACTGCTGCTGCTGCACTCGCCTCTTCACCCGTCCGCTCCCTCTCTTCCTGCTTGTTATCCCCCCCTGGGAACATGCTGTAGCCCAGGGTCCAGAAGGTGGGGGACCAGCTGGAAGGGGGAGGGAGGGAAGTGAGTGGGAAGAGGGGAATATATGGTGTGCCATCACTCTCCCCCCACCCGCTCACCCTCCTCCTGCTTGTTATCCCCCCCTGGGAACATGCTGTAGCCTAGAGTCCAGAACGTGGGGGACCAGCTGTGGAAACATGCAAGCAATGGGAAAATGGAGGGGAGACGGAGAGGGGGGAAGATGGAGAGGGGGTAAGACAGAAAGGGGGGAAGACAGAGAGGGGGCAATGGCATGCTAACATGTTGTAGCCCAGAGTCCAGAACGTGGGGGACCAGCTGGAAGGGTGGAGGAGGGGAGTGGGAAGAGGGGAATAGATGGTGTGCCATCATTTCCCCCCCATCCTCTCGCCCTCTTCCTGCTTGTTATCCCCCCCTGTGAACATGCTGTGGCCCAGGGTCCAGAACGGCAATGGCAATGGCAATGGCAGTGGCAATGGCAATGGCAATGGCAGTGGCAGTGGCAGTGGCAGTGGCAGTGGCAGTGGCAGTGGCAGTGGCAGTGGCAGTGGCAATGGCAATGGCAATGGCAATGGCAATGGCAATGGCAATGGCAATGGCAATGGCAATGGCAATGGCAATGGCAATGGCATGGGAACGTGTTGTAGCCCAGGGTCCAGAAGGTGGGTGACCAGCTAGAATGGGGAGGGAGGGGGGTGGGACAAGGAGTGGCAGCAGCACCGCCCCCTGTGAGTGGGTCAGTGGGAAGCAAAGGCGATGTCGTGTGAGCATGCTGTAGCCCGGATTCCAGAAGGTGGGGGACCAGCTGGAAGAGGGAGGGAAGAGTGAGGGGTATACGGTGAACACAGGGGTTCGGAGCGGTTAACTGTGGTGAACACAGGGGTTCGGAGCGGTTAACTGTGGTGAACATGCTGTAACCCAGGGTCCAGAAGGTGGGTGACCAACTGGAAGGGTTCAAACATGCCCAGCACAGATACTCACCCCAGCTTGAACAGCATCAAGAACCCAACAGCCCTGTCAGCATGTGTGGGTACAATGTAGTGATGCACAACTTTATAGAGTGTACTCACCCGACCATGAAGAGTGCGAGGTACCCAGCAGCCCTGTCAGCATCAGCGCGAGACAGCAGCGTTGCCAGAAACACGAGAGGCAGAGTGAGCGAGCACATGCTGACATAAAACACCCTCCTTCCTCCCCTCAGGCCCAACCATTAACAGGGTGCTCACCCAACCTTGAAGAGCACAAGGTACCCAGGCGCTCTGTCAGCATGGGTAGACTGCTAAGGTACCCAACACAGCAAGGTGTAAAGGTGTTCTCACCCGACCATGAAGAGTGCGAGGTACCCAGCGGCTCTGTCAGCATCAGCGCGAGTCAGCAGCGTTGCCAGAAACACAAGAGGCAGAGTGAGCGAGTTTCCAAACGCACATGCTGACATAACCACCGCCTCCTTCCTCCCCGCCGCCCGCTCCGCTGCCCCAACCATCCCAGGTGCAGACAAAACTCCCCGCCCAGGCGCCACCTTCCCACCGCCCACCTTCCCCTCCACCGCCCCCTCCCGCTTCGGAGGGGGGAGGCCAGAGAGGAGGGCGGCAGCAGAGGGAGAGAGGCCGAGGCTCTGAGCGACGGAGAAGGCGATGTGACGGGCGGCAGGAGGGGAGGGGAGTGAGGAGAGTGAGGAGGGACGGCGGTAGGCGATTGTGCAGGCTAGCTTGCCTAGCGCTGCTCCACAGAGGATCTGATTTGAGCAGTGTGGAAGGGGTAGGTGAAAAGGAGGCAGGGAGGAGGGGGTGTGAGTTTTGGAGAAAAAGTGGAGTTAAAAAGCACGGCAGAGGTGAGGGAGGAGAGCGAGGAGGGACGGCGGTAGGCGATGGTGCAGGCTAGCTTACCTAGCGCTGCTCCACAGAGGATCTGGGGAAGACGGGGGGATGGGGTGAGGTGAGGTGGGGTGGGGTGGGGTGGGGTGGGTGAAGGAGTTTTCAAGGAGAAATGGAGAACAAAAGCAGTGCGAAAGTGAGCGAGGTGAGGGAGGAGGGACGGCGGTAGGCGATGGTGCAGGCTAGCTTGCCCAAAGCTGCCCCACAGAGGACCTGGAGAGAATGGGTGGGGTAGGATGGGATGGGGTGGGGTGGGGTGGGGTGGAGGGAGTTTACAAGGCGAACTGGAGAACATAAGCAGTACAGAAGCGAGAGAAGAGGGGGAAGAGGGACGGTGGTAGGCAGGCTAGCCTGCCTAGAGGTATTCCACAGAGGACCTGGAAAGTAGGGTGGGTGGGCAGACAGAGGTGGAGTGGAGTGGGGTGGAGAGGAGTGAAATGGAGACGAGTGGAGTGGTGTGGGGTGGAGAGCAGAGGAGAAAAGAGGAGTGGATAGGACAGGAGTAAAGCGGGTTGGAATACAGAGGAGTGGAGTGAAGAGGAGTGGAGAGGAGTGGAGTAAAGAGGAGAGGAGAGGAGTGGAGTAAAGATGAGTGGAGAGGAGTGGAGTCAAGAGGAGTGGAGAGGGGTGCAGCACACCTGAATTACAGCGAGGAAGGGCAGGGCAGCGAGCGAGGTGAGTGGTTGCACAGCGAGAGTAGAGGCGACTTTGGTCATTAGGAAGCAGGGGATGAGCGCTTGGAATGCCACCTGGGGAAAGGTGAAGGGGGGAAAGGTGAAGGGGGGAAAGGCGAAGGGGGGAAAGGTGAAGGGGGGAAAGGCGAAGGGGGGAAAGTTGAAGGGGGGAAAGGCGAAGGGGGGAAAGGCGAAGGGGGGAAAGGCGAAGGGGGGAAAGGTGAACAGAAGGATAGGCAAGAGAAGAAGCGACTTTGGCCGTGAGGAAGTGGGGGATGAGCGCTTGGAATGGAAGGCGATGTGGAGGGATGGAAGGGGTGGGTAGGGGGGTGCAACATGACATAGAGAGTCAAAACATGATGAGGCACGGCGAGAGTAGAGGCGACTCTGGTCGTGAGGAAGCGGGGGATGAGCGTTTGGAAGGCCACCTGGGGAATAGACAGGGGGGATGAGGTGGGAACGAGTTTCTGAGTCATGAGGAAGCATGAAATGAGTGCTTGATGAGCCATGAGGAGCAATAATACATGACCTTTGTCCAGCTTACGGGGACTTTTGAGTCAACGCACAAGAGGGGAAGGACATACGAACAACATCAGCTGACTGGACATCTGAACCACAGATGATTAGACACCTGAACCCCACCTGACAACACCTGAACCCCACCTGACAACACCTGAACCGCACCTGGCTGAGCACCGAGGGCGTGGCTTCAGGAAGAATGTTGGCCTTCATTAGCCACACGATGAAGGCTGGGGGGAGCATGGAGGGAGGGAAAGAGGGAAGGAGGTAGCGGGTGGGGAGGTGGGATGGGTGGGTGCGATCACATCATGTGTGTTGGTGCCTTCAGGAAGGACTTTTGAGACACCTTTTGAGGCGCCTCAAAGAGGTGGGATGGGTGGGTGCGATCACATCATGGGTGGTCGTGCCTTCAGGAAGGACGTTGGCCTTCATTAGCCACACGATGGAGGCTGGGGGGAGCATGGAGGAGGAGTGGGGGAGGAGGGAGTAGGAAGGTGGGGTGGGTGCAATAACGATGGAGGGAAGGGGGATGAACACGAGGCACAGCACATCACATCACATCACATCACATCGCACCGCACCGCACCGCATCGCATCGCATCGCATCACTCCACATCACATCACATCACATCACATCACATCACATCACATCACATCACATCACATCACATCACATCACATCACATCACATCACATCACATCACATCGCATTATGTGTGATGGTGGCGTTGGGTAGGATGTTGGCCTTCATTATTCACACGAAGAAAGTTGTGGGGGGGATAGTGGGAGGGGGAGGGGGAGGGGGAGGGGGAGGGGGAGGGGGGAGGGGGAGGGGGAGGGGGAGAGGGAGGGGGAGGGGGAGGGGGAGGGGGAGGGGGAGGGGGAGGCGGGCGTGTGAGAGGGAAGGGAGAAGAGAGCAAGCAAGAGCGAGACAGCGAATGCGGGTGAGCATGAGGCATTAGGTATGAGGCAGAGCTCGCATGGACTCACCACACATGGCGAACAGCTTCAACGCGGCTCCCAGAGACGCTCGCAGCACAGCAGGAATTCTCAGAACTTGCCCATATGAGGGGTGAGCATGACGGAGAGATAGGCAGCGGCTCACCGCACATGGCGAAGAGCTTAAACGCGGCTCCCAGGGACGCGCGCAGCACAGACGTGTTCACGCCACACGCGGCCAGCAACGCTCCCACCGCTGATGATGATGATGCTGCCGCTGCCTCTGCTGCTGCTCCTACTCCTGCCCCCACTGTTCCCGCTGCTGCTGGCGCAGCCATGATTCCCCCCGCCACCACTGCTGCAGCCGCTGCTGCAGTGGCGATGACGTGGATAGTCCTGCCAGCTGACGTGGCGATGACTGACGGACGGGTGATCCTGTCTGCTGACGTGGCGCTGACTGACGGACGCCTGACGGAAGGGCCATTGGCGGAACTGCCTTTGCAGCGAAGCGCTCCCGCGTTCCCTAGAAACGACCGTCGGAATCTACAGTCATTGCCGGCAGGGCGTTGAACTAGACGGCTGGTGCTGGGTGTGACGGCGAGGGAACTCTGGCTGAGAGAACTCAGTGCGTGGCTGATTCTGATTGGTCGAGCCGAGATGGCGGAACAAGGACGGATTTTATTTGAAATTGCCTCTGCAGCGGAAAGGACATGTGGCGTGGGGTGAGTGGCTGGATTAGGAGTAGGTGTCAGAGTGCAGGTTCCTGGAAGCATCGGGAACATGGCGTAATGAAGCTTAATCGGTGCCGTTTGTCAACGAATCGAATCGGATCGAATCCAATCAAATAGAATCGGATCAATCCAATTAGGACAAAAATCCGCCTGTCTCATGCATGGACACTACCATAATGCGAAGATGCTCCGACAAAGGCTGACCATCTTTCTGACGGATTCCGTTTCGTCGCAGCGAGGGCCAGACTGAAGGGAAGTCGGAGCGCAAGTCGAAAGTCGAAATCGTCTAAAGCCGAACGTCGCTGGCAACTTGAATTCGGTGCGGTATCCAGCTGTACAGCTCACGAGCCCCTTTCGCTAACAGTCGCTATGGAATCACGAAGAAGGTTTTCCTGCCGCCGAATAAGCCCCACAAACGATTGCGCGTGTCACCACTCGCCGAAGCGCGTCGACCCGATGTCAACGGTGTCAAATAAGACGACTGAATCGCGCAAGAGGAAAAATACGAAGGAGGGAGTAAGCTACGGCACTTCGGGAAGGGAAACTGCGAGCAATTGAACCCGTCTCGAGTCGATAAAGGTGAGAAGAACGCGAGAGTAATGGCAGGTTAGAAGAATGCACTAAATCACGCGACAAGAATCAGGCGAGGGCCCACTTGACACACACAGGCGTGGCTTTAAGAGTGGTCGCGACGCGACTAAAACTTGCTGCATTCGTCCGTTCCAGATATAGTATGTGCTACTATAATGACACGATTATTAGTCAGAAGGGAGGCAACTATGTGCGGTGCGGAGGCACTGCGGAAATCGATCAAGGAACTCGGTCACAGACAGACCAGAATCGTGTGAAGCGAAGGTCTACTATGCATGGTAACGTAGCCTTCGCTTACGCTCGCCCCCAATCAGGCGAAGGAAACTTTTTATGCAATCTGGTCACACGCGGGGAAACAGGCCTTCGGCTTCGCGAATAAACATCAAATGTCAGATGTTGCTACGAGTGTAGTTGAGTGATCGCCAGAGTTGCGCTATGTTTACCCCATAATTTAATAAAGCATATACAAGAGATGGTAAACAAAGTTCAAAACCATCGCCTCTCCCACGGGCCCCTCATAACTTCCATCCGTTTCCCTACTCCAAAAAAATATTTGGCTTTTCCAGTCTCTAGCAAAGCAAGTGTAGTGAATATCAGTATGCCCACAAGTATCATCGGATCGAGGGGCTGCAATGCAATGAGCCAATCGTTGAAAAACGACAGCCCATAACATCCCAAGTGCCCCGCAGCAACTTTGTTCAGGTGTGAAATGAGGGTGTTGGTTCCCGCTCCACAGAAGTCGTTGAGACGTTTAGGAGGGATGCTTCGGTACAGAAACCAAGGGCCCTTGGCAGGCAATGTCTTGGTTTCGACATGCCCCTGAAGCTGCTGCTGCTGTTTCTGCTGCTGCTGCTGCTGCTGCTGCTGCTTCTGCTTCCGCTCCTGCTGAACCAGTTCCATTCAGGAGTAAATCCACTCGAGTTAGTTCCGAAGGTAGTACCCGAACGCGTTCACAGGTTCATGGCAAAAACAAACCGTCCAGAAACCAGCGTCTACAAGCGTAACATCGGCTGTGGTGGAAATATCTGGGAACTTGAAACTTTGAAGTGACGAGATGTGCTTATTGCTGCACAGTGATTATAGTGAAAGGGAACATAGCACGAATGATGGAAAGAGAGAGAGAGAGAGAGAGAGAGAGAGAGAGAGAGAGAGAGAGAGAGAGAGAGAGAGAGAGAGAGAGAGAGAGGGAGAGAGAGAGAGAGAGAGAGAGAGAGAGAGAGAGAGAGAGAGAGAGAGAGAGAGAGAGAGAGAGAGAGAAGACACATGGAGTGGTTTAGAGCCAGCGGTTACCCAAAGTCGAGCAACATGCGGTATATATGTACCGTACAAGGATTAGCTCAACCGAATGGATGCCAAATGGAGAACTCAACCAAGAGCTAAAGCCAAGAAATGAGGGGATGGAGAGAGAGAGAGAGAGAGAGAGAGAGAGAGAGAGAGAGAGAGAGAGAGAGAGAGAGAGAGAGAGAGAGAAACCCGATTAAAGCTCCCATACCGCACCTGCAGCCAAACGGCCCGTCGACGTAAATCCTGTTGGGCTGAGAAAAGCCCTTAGGAACTTTCAGGACTAAGATCAGGTATTGATATAGAGATGTAATAGCGGAAGCGGTTAATGAAGGGTTGTCGTGAACCACCTTGTACTAGTGTGTGAGAACAAGATAAGTTGATAATAGCAGAGAAGTACAAGGCTTTTATATGATTACAAAGGAATATTGAAAATTCTATTTTAACTGTTTTTGCTGTTGCGGTTCGATACAGTGCAGACTCGGGTAACTGTTCTGTAACGAGTCAGTTATGTGTCCTTGCTGTCGCACTGTACGTTTCGTCAGGTCAAAGGTCGGAGACCTTTGACCTTCGCGCAACCTTTGACGGTTGCCTTGGTTGACTCGAGTGCTTCTTCGTTGTAGTCAGTTCCGTTTTGTGTCGAAGCTTCGATACGACAGAAGCGTTATAAATCACTTGTTTCCAACAAATCCCTCTAATCCAATAGAAGTTAAGCTTCAAAGGCTGCAGCTCTGGGCTTCAGGGCGCGGGCTGTCAGTAGCGGGTCAGTGCGCCCATAACCCCCCAGGTCAACGAGCCACCCTTTCTTAGGATCAATCGGGGATCACCAGTGGACCTCTGACACCCCCCCGCACTTGGAGGCCCGAAGTTGTCAGAATCCCAACCACTAGACCATTGGGATAAAATGGCTTGTTAAGTAGCGGATCAGTGTGCCCATAACCCCCCAGGCCAACATGCCTGTAACCCTTCCCTATGATCAATCAGGGATCACCAGTGGACCTCTAACACCCCCCCGTACTGGGATGCTCGAAGTGCACACACTGAGATTCGAACCCGAGACCTTCACTCTGATACCATGTCAGAATCCCAACCACTAGACCATTGGCATAAAAGGGCTTGTTAAGTAGCGGTTCAGTGCGCCCATAACCCCCCAGGCCAACATGCCTGTAACCCTTCCCTAGGATAAATCGGGGATCACCAGTGGACCTCTGACAGAAGTGCACACACTGGGATTCGAACCCGAGACCTTCGCTCTGATACCATGTACGAATCTCAGTCACTAGACCACTGGGATAAAATGGCTTGTTAAGTAGCGGGTCAGTGCGCCCATAATCCCCCAGGACAACGAGCCTGTAACCCTTCCCTATGATCAATCGGGGATCACCAGTGGACCTCTGACACCCCCCCGCACTGGGATGCCCGAAG